AGCCGGCTATAGATAGCATTAGGTTCTAACGGCGTGGGTTCCGAGCTCAATTCGCACGGACACTAACAAATCATATAGTTCTCATTCCACTTGGTAGGTGTAGGTGTCAAGGTATATGTTGGTATATACCCTACTATATTGTTGCTAGGCTTAGGTATCTCGTCCTCTCTCTAAAGTACTAACCAATAGACATATAGATCGTCCGAGCTAGGCCACCAATAAGTCCTCGCTCTCTACCTTCATTGCGCGACACGCCTAGGGCGTCCTAGCTTCCGCCCACTGCCTAGGCTACCCCTGCCAAGAGCGTTAAGTTGTTCTTTCAGCGTAGCCACTTCCTCTCTAAGCGCCGAGATCTCTTGGTACCCGCCCTACATGCTTTCCACGCCTCGTCCTATGTCGTCGTTCCAGAAATTTTGTTTTTCGAGCTGTTCTTCTATAGACCTAGGTTCCTATTAGCATAAGATAGGTTTAGAGCAGGTATCGCCGAGAGGCAGGCACCTACAGGACTCGGGCGTTCAAGCTAGAAAGAAATTAGCGTCACTAGTAACTATAATGAAGAAGCAAATAGTCTTACTCTCCGAGACACCTCAGACACTTGCCCATTGATACGGGGCTACCAGTCTCTCCATGATGCACCGCTTCGGGTACGTGATCTGCCACACTTTTGGTCTCCGCCGCCCAATCAGCATCTGCTTCATATTCTATATCTTCATCCATTGGCATATAGCTTTCTTCCGCATAGGTCTGCGATTCCATCTCATAAGGGCAGTCTTTATCTTAGGCGCCTACAGCCGATTCAGGGATACTCTAGAGGTCGAAAGGCTTGGCTTTAGAAGCAAGGGCATCGCGAAGTTAGCTAGAGAATCGACCAAGGTTCTCTCCGGAACCGGGATGTTGAAGGATACCTATGCCGAGGATTCTGGACTTGTTAGAAAAGGGAGTGAATGATTAATAGAGTGGGTGAATGAGAAGTACAGCTAGGTCTTTCTCCAATGCTAGAAGCCGTGCTTGATTTATAGTCCAGACAGACAGCTCGGCAGAGCGCTCGGACCAATCCGAGAACTAGGACCGTATACCCTGCTAAATAAGTACGCCGTTAGGTATTTTCCAGAGGTATACGCTATGGTCGCAGATATTTGACTAGACCGGAATGCCTACCTAGCCCTAGACTAACAAGCCGCCCCTAATGTGTGGGCCAAGGGGAGAGCGATGATACTACTTTGAGAGATATTTAAAGGAAATCTACACCACAAGCCATTCTTTCTTCGTGCAAGGCATTTTGGAGTAAGTAGTTTAGGAAAATCTAACACCAAAATGATGATGTCGACAAACCAGCTGGGCCAACTTGACCTTCGTTTAATGTTAGAGATTTACGCCAATCCTATACCTGAAGGTCAAGGTATGGTCATTACCTGGTTGAAACTAATTAGTAGGCCCTCGTGTATCTGTGTAACCGTATAACTTCATAGGGACCAAATTTCACATCCCTGTCACCTCATTAAACCGACTCCACTTGAGTAATTCGAGGTCCAAGTGGGCATCAAGCGTTTGCCCATACTATGGTCCTACTAGTTTAGCCGAAATACGGAGAGAGCTTGTTTATTTTTACTTTTATTTTTAATTTTTTTAGCCGGCCTCGAAACACCAATACCATGTGCCCGGATATATTGAATGGTTATTTAATTATTAAACCTCATTTTTTTGCGAGCTGTGGGTTCTGCTATTACCACCGGCCTCCGAAAAAAGACGACTTGTTCAAAATAGGAATGGTGAGTTGAGTATACATCAGTTATATTCTCGCTGTCTGTCGTTTCTCACCTATCTCTTCCAGTGTTAGCTTTCATGGCGTGATTTCCTAATCGCCGTCTGTTCTTTTACTTTTGCACATACCCCATCCACCAATATACCGAAAGACATATACCTTCCTTAGACTGAGTCCGAGGAAGATAACCTCGAACCATGGTTATCTGAATACGACTGGATGCCATAGAAAGAAAGGGCTAAAGAATACTCCAAGCAACACGATAAAGACAGATCATTCGAGTCGCTGCGAGGAAAACGCAACCAGCTTCGGAAAGGGATTAGAAGGCGGCGACCGATCTCAGACAGATCGACTTTACGGGCCCGTACCACGGCCCGTAGGGCTCTGTACCGAATTCAGAGACTTCCTCAGGGCTTCCTCCCCGCCCTCCTACCTTCAGGCTAAAATCTCCCGACCCTTCGGCTCGTCAACTACTGCGACAGGTGCATCAATATAGGAATCCACACCATCAGGTTTCTGCACCGGCCTCGCAAAAGAAAGAAGATTCCCAGCCCGCAATTTCACCAAACAATGCCACGCCAGGTAGGTCAATATACAACCAGCATGAAGCTCGCACTGCTAATGCCTGCCTCCTCAGTTTACATAAGCCCCAAGCCCGTATTCCGACGACGTGAACAGCCGATGTTTATTTCACAACTTTGGAGGATGATCCGCGGCATGCGCATTTCTCACAGGGACGAGGAACCGTGACGCACGCAGAGAGGAAAGGCGGAACGTGTAACTCATGACGCCTTGTGAGCCGTATTACTATGTAATTCTTATATGGATGTTAACAACATTTCTTAAAAATATGACTATATTTTCTGGGTTAATCAAGTCAAGTATTTCATTCAATACTGTAGCAGTCACAAGTTGCTCCGTTTCCAAGCCTGCCCTGCTTCATGTTACATCAAAATCCGCACCTGGTACCTGATATAGCTCTATCAGGAAACTAATGTCCTCTACTTCCTGTGACTGTCTATAATCAGGTGGAGCGGGTTATGGAAGGCAGTGGTTTTCCTAGTCCCCTCTAAGATATCCACATTAGCCTGCCCGATGTTTCCCCGACACTTGGAGCTTACTTAAGCTTTGGAAATTCGCAATTTTTACTGAATCCTTCTAAGACTCTGAACTAACTGAAATATTGGACAGGCTAGCGCTAACAATGCATGCCACGATGGGATTGTTTGATGGCAAAGGGTAATCAAATGGTCCCCGTATGTATTGCTGTTACACCCAGTGGGCCATGTCTAGGGGCCCCGCACTTCAGAGCGTTTCCGCGGTTCGTTCATAATGTGGCTCCATGATACCCACCTTTATTGGGGACACCTGAATGGAGGCGAAATTGTTTCGGGCCGGTGCGAGATCCAAAATTAAGGAAGACGGGAAACAGAGGAAGATGGGAAACATTCCCACAACCATCGGTTTTTTTTGAGTGGAACTATATACTGACGCCCTCCATGATCCGTAATAAACATTGACTGATATGCTTCTATTGTACATACCTTAATGATGCCTGTGATCGGGCACTAGATGAATATATAACGTATTTAAGCTGTATCCGTAGAAATTGCTGCTTTTAATAATTCTCGGAAAAATATTTATACAGAGTTTGGCCTCTGTCTCATGTTTTCTCGTGTCTCCCAGAATTTCTATTAATTATCCATATTCAACATTGCGAGATGGCTGTCTCCACTTAAAATCCCGTTCTCCTCCTTTTGCCAGTCTAAATGAACTTTTGAAGCATGCGTTTGCTATCTCGGGCTGGATTGTGTCGCAGTTCGCCCCTGGCAAGCCTGGGACATGCTTAATGGCATTGGCGCTTTGGATTGCGCTGAATAGTCGAGACCCCCGACAACCTGCATAGGCTATCGACATGTCTTCCCAGCTCAAGATTTCTTTGCCCCAAGCTAGCAACCTCATCGAGTACTTTCTCCATTAGTCGGTGCAACTCAGCATTCCATGCTGCCTGCTCCGCGAAAGATTCCTCGACTTTGCTATGTGATTATCAGCGTATTATCCCGTAAAATATCTGTCCCGGCAGGAGCCTACGGGAAGTCTCACCTCAATCGTCCTTCTAAACTAAGGCTGGATTAGCTATCATTTCTAAACAGATCTTTAGGGCAGAACAACGTTGCCAACTCACTCCATAATGGAACGTAATAACCAGCATTGGCCATCTTCAGCAGCATTCCCCTCAATTTTGATGGCGTCTCGCTGCACAGTCTCTGGAGTACGGTCAGCCTCGACCGTGGTCTCAGTGGATACACACGGCGAAACCTACGTTCAATAATGTCCAGTGCACTAGACTGTGTCTCTTTGGATGGAATACCTTGTGTGCTGGCCATCTCAAGAGCCGAAATGTAATTGACAGAGAGTTACCTAAACGAAAAATAGAGAGAGTGGAATACCTTTATAGGGAACGCAGATCAGTGTTCACGTGATGACGGCCCGTCAGCTGGCAATTTTCCATATGATCATTTGTCACGCAAATGTATGATAATGAGATCGGATATCCTAGCACGAGTATGTACAAGGTTTCCTACCAAAATCTGGAACAGATACGTTCCTTTTTTCCCCCTTTTGTGGCTAGTGCATGCAGACTTACAACTGGCAGTCACAGTGCTGGCACACGGATCCCAACCTCTTATTGCCCGCAAGTCGAGCATTAGCAAGCCCAATTCAGGCCGTCGAATAGTGTCATGCTTCAAAGTGAAATAGTGCTGCCATGGGTTTCCCCTTGAATTGTCAAAATCTTGAGTCATACTCAAACTAAGCACTCTTGAAATGCTTCCAACAATAGCGAACGGGCCTCGCCGAATTACTAGTGTTTAATGCGCGGGATAGCTGATTTTGTGAATACTTTCCTACGGTATCGGTAATGCATCGTGTAATCACTAATAGAACCTTTCTCTATGAAACTTGCCCAATATTGTTCAACAACAATTCTCTGATCCAGATCTGTATTAGATACGTGCTTTCAACAACTTGGCTAAATTAACCAGCCATGCTGGGGAAAAAAGAAATGTTTAAGGCGGAACGGAACCTACCTATAAACGCTCGCTGCACAAGCCCCGATGACCAATATTGAGTATAAAGTTGAGGAAGTCCACCTCTGTTCTTTTAGCCGCAGCAAGAATTTTACGCCCTGTCGTATTTCTCGGCGCCTCTCATCTTCCCAATCTTTGAACTTATCAAGATGTATCATACACAGTGCCACTTGTATAAACCGGATTCGTCCGGTGCTCCTTTTTTGTCTCGGATCCATCACCATGTTCGGTGCGCACCGTCAACGTGCGAGAAGCCCCTGTTCTACCTTCCTACCACACGAGAGTACAGAAGCCCACCGCCCATAATCTCACACCCCGAAAGGCCTGGTTGCCAGAAGAAGACAAGACAATTGTTCAGCTTCGAAATCAGCGTGTTGGATGGTCATCCATCAGCAAGCATTTTAATGGGAGAAGCCCTACTGCTTGCCGCCTCCGTTATCAAAATTACTTAGAGCGATGGGACAACTGGGACGACGAAAAAAAACCAGTTGGCGCGACAGTATCTCAGGTATGCCATTGGTCTGTTCGTGATACTTCTATGATACTGAATTTTTTATTGCCTCTTTCAGACATGGATCGGGTCTATGGTTAAAAATAGCCAAGGGTATGGATGTTCCGCCGCGCGCAGCAGAGGGTATGTTTTGGGAGCTAGGGGATAAGGAGATCGCTCGCCGCGCCGGAACTATATTCTCCTCACATCATCCCGAGGATTTTTCATCTCGCTTTAGCAGCCAATGTGGGAGCATTTCTGTCAGCGACATGTCAGAGAGGAGTGGCGGGACTGTTTTCAACAAGAAGCCAGCCATTCAACTTCCCTCGCTAAAGGATGTACTTTCAAACCTTTCTGCATGTCCAATGGCGAACCAGCTTCCAGCAATCCAGTCTTCGTTAAGTTGAGAAAACCGACTCAGACAAGCTGCTATCCTCAATCGGTACATGTCATAAAGCCTCAAATAATCGAGTGCCGCCGAAGGGCTTCTAGGGGCTCTTAGACGAGGGTTGGTCGGGAATGAATCATCCTCCGATGATATTTACGGCATTTCGTTGAAGTGTAATAGATAAGGCCAGAGAGAATTGAACAATTGCCAGCGATCCTGTTTCACAAAATTAATGTCTATATGTATTCGAAACTTGAACACGTTTACGTCCCTTCTAATTTTGGGCGGTTTGATCGGAAATATGCCATGATCGATACTACCTGCTCAGTTGTATTTTTGGTCCTCACACGTGATATGCTCGTTTCGAACTAGCCCCTGGAGAATACCCTATAAAGGTCTGCACGCCAGCCTGATTTGATTTTTAATTTGAACCTGCGCTTCGAATCCACGGGCTCTTCAATCTCCTTTGTATTCATTTTTTTATTTCCTTTATTTACCCTGAACATGGAGGTTGTCAGTGACTTGGCCGCGACTTCTGAGAAGCCAGGATCCGAAGATTACAATTTACCATCCTTCCTGGACTGCCGTGAAGCTCTGCGGAGAAGACATTTTATTCCTTCGCAAGAGCAACTTCGCTCAATTCTTGAACTCTCCCTGTCTTATATAAGGGTACTTGATGAGGATATGCATCTTGCTCGACACCTCGGACTTCCCCTCATGAGCAACACTATGGCCAAGAACATAGATGCGCTCTTCAAAAGCCCACGACCGCAATTAATCGAAGCCCACAGCGCATGCGAAGACAACATCACTTGGTCTGAGGTCGCTGATGCCAATTACAACCCCGTGCCCCAAGAGGATGGGACCTATCATCTCTGGATCTCTAGCCGATGGGCTACGGTTGGATTATCCCAGTTTGATCACAACATTCTCCTACCCGGCATTATTCAGCAGCTTATCCATCCTTTGTCTCACGAACCTGATGTGCAAATGGAAAGGGAGACACTTTCTCTCGCAACTTCGGAAATTACTTCATGGAACCAGATCGCCTTGGAATGTGTGCTGTTCCTTCTACCTCTTGATTTCAAGATACTGATAACTTTTGCTTTAGTGGTGGAAACAAACAAATACTTACTTGAGAAATTGAAGGAAAAGGCGAACTCACTTTGTATGTGTCAACATTCATTTGGCCCCTAACAAACCATCGCTCATTCATCTTTATTGTGATAGCTTCTCAAGAAAGCATGATTCCAGAAGTTCAAGTTCCGGATTGTCCGGAGCATGTGGTGGCTGAGTCGCAAAATACCAACTCGTCAAAGGGTGGAACGAAGAACTTGGGTATGAGAGCAACAAATTAAGAAAAAAGAAACATGAAGCTGACGTATGAGCCCTTCAGCTAACAACGGCAAAGCATGGGACCCTTATGACAAGGATCGTGTTCCTAAATGGTTTGAGACTCGAAAACATCTTCCTAAGAAACAAATTGAGCTTGAATTTGAACGAGATTTTGGTCACCGTCGGAAACATAGCAGTATCTACGCTGTTTGGTATCAGAAAAAGGGCAAGGAAAAGAGCAAGCGAAAGAAGGCTCTTCGACGCCAAGGGAAACCTTCAATTCCTCATGATATCTCACATTATCAAACGACGAGGACCTCTGACTGCAATGAGAGCTCATTGGGTTCTACTTCTAACCCGGAAAATCTACTTGCTGTGGTCTCTCCGCCGAACGACACTTATCCGACTCCTGAGAGCGCTACAGAGGTTGTGCCGATGCAAACAGATCCCCAATCGAGGCGACCTGGAAATGCTTCTCACACTGATGTTCAGCATGATATGTCAATGAACGCCGCTGAATGTGATACGCTTGATGGTGTCCCAGAGATAGAACCTACTCAGTCGGACACATCAGCACGAAGTGCTCCAACAAACGGTGTTGAGGAATCACGAACGCCTTGTATCTCGCTCGATACGGAAGCTGTTTTGGGCTCTAAAGAACCAGACACGGCGGAAAGACTTTCTCGGCGAAAGCAGCCACCGGTACGACCTGCTCAAGCAACAAAGCCTAGCAAATCTTCCTCACTAAGCCAACCCCGATGGACTGCGCTCGGGGCTCAAGTCGGATCCTCCGCCGTTGGGGATATGCAAAGCATTGATCCAAGCGAGGCCATGGACCCAAACCATTCTCCTAATTTTCTTGGACGGATCCTCAACTAGCTCTTTTCTCGAGACCTACACATGACGGTATAGCTATCTCAGACCAGCGACAAGAATATCGCCTATCACAGGAGTAAAGCTGCTGTATATGGAGCGCTTTCAAATATCCCCAGAATGTCACGGAACATACTTTCACATGTCGGTTTTTCGGCCTGGATCGACGATTGTGTCTGTGTACCTGCAAAATAGTTTTAATTTTCTAGCTACAAATAGTTCATTCATTCTTTCTAATGGTGATATATAAGATCCAATCTGCTCGCCTTCAAGGGCCTCATCACGCTATTTGCCATAATCAAGCCTCTATTCAATGTACCACTTTACGCCAAACAGGCGACCCTTCTCCAAAGGCGAGAACTTACGAAATAGAGCTTTAGAAACATCAATGGATTTGTTATCACATCCCATGCATTTATCGACAACAACGCCAGTATACTTCTTTCCTTCATAATCAATATGAACAGTTCTTCCACAATCACATGGTTTCATAATACCCTGCGGCAATGCAAGAACGAAGTCAGCCTCGCCATTGTTTGTTGTCAGGATGAGGAATTAATGTACTGGCTAGTACTGCACATGTCCAATAGAATCTGATGATTGATTGAAGGTGTGTAGATCGGTTCAGCGATCTCTGGAGTCTACTGTCCGTGCTCTGGCGTGTTATGACACCGTATCCGAATTTAGCCCGAATACCATACAAATACTAGGGGAAATTGGGTGAACGATGAACAAGCCTATCCCAAAAGGCCATAGCGGTATTTGACCGCTCCTTTAGTTTGTCACACCCCCCAGCGTTCGCACAATTCCAACCTCTTCTTGTTAATCTAGCAGATTTCCAATATCCTCAATGCCCATCATTTGAACGAATTCTGCATGCTTCTGACGTGGCAATAGCTTGGTGAGTCCGTCCGCAGCCATACCCTTCGTCTCAGTCCATTTGATGAGAATCCTGCCTGCCTGGACCTCCTGACGAAGCCAGAGGTGGTGTATATCAACATGACGTAGCTTCGTCCGCAGCTGAGGAGCTTCCTTGGTGAGAAGCCGAATTGTCTGTTGATTATCACATCGGATAGCAAGCTCGTGCTTTGGATCAAAGCGAACAGCCTCAAAGAGGCGTTTCCACATGCTCATAGTCCTCGCAGCCTCAGAGATCGCTAGCAGCTCCGCTTCGGTTGTGCTAGTAGTCACCGTGCGCTGTTTGCCAGCTCTCCAGTCAACAGGTCCTCCAAAGATCTTGCAGATATATCCCTCCGAGCTCTTCCGGTCAGGGTTATCGGCGAACGAGGCATCACTAAAGAGAGTAACGGCTTCATCCTCCTCGGATTGGCGTGGGCGATAAGTGAGGGCGTGGAAGCGTGTGTGATAGAGGTATGATATCACGCGGTTGATGGCTTCTAGATGGTCCGGACCCGGATTCGTGAGGAATTGAGCTAATGTGGAGGTTGCTTTGGCTGCATCTGGCCGTGTGATGGTGGTTGCATATTGAGCGGAGCCGACCTTCTCCTGATACTCCTTAATCCGTTCACTTGTGGCTTGCCCAGTATACGGCTTTAATGTAGCTGGCGCAAGGGGTGTATCAAAGCGACGATGGGTGGTAAGGTGATATCTGCTTGCCATAGAGGAGATGTATGAGTCCTGACAGAGCCAGAGGGCCATCTGCTGTCTATCACGGACTATACGAATCCCAAGGAACCATGAAGCTTCACCCATGTGTCTCAATTCCCATGCGGTGTTAAGCTTTTCTCTGATCTCAGCCGCGCGCTGGCGCTGAGATGGGTGATTGACGACAATTATGTCGTCTACATAGAAGAACACAATGATACCGTCTGCTGCGAAGAGACAGAGGTCTTCTTGAACGACTTTGAGACCTAGTTGGGTCAAGATCCTTGAGGCCTCGCGCTGCCAGAGCCTCGGAGATTTCCGTAGGCCATAGAGAGCTCTCAGTAGCTTCCAGCAATAGCCAGACTGCCTAAAACCCTCGGGCATCTCTGTTATCACCGTTTCGTCTAGCAAGCTATTTAGGAAGGCGTTGACAGCATCAAATTGATGTGTATCAAGGTCAAACGCAGGGACCAAGGCGAGGACGGCGCGGGCCGTCCGTGCGGCGAGTGTAGCTGAATACTTCTCTTCTGTAGAGAGTTTCTGGAGGTCTCCTCGCACACAGATTCTCGCCTTTAATTTCACGAGATATCCGTCACTATCGAATTTATAGTTGAAGACCCACTTCAATGGGAGGACCTGCACGCCACGGTCGTTCGGACGCCGTATAACCTCAAAAGTGCCCTTCCGTTCGATGGTTTTGACCTCAAGTCCAGCAGCTGCTAGGAAGCCTTCGTTAAACGGGTGATTCAACATCTCTCTCCAAGATTGAGGCTCTGGGGGTAGATCATCGCGGTGTGTTCTCGTGTGTGAGTAGGATCCGTTGAGGCCAGTTGCGAAGGCAGCGAGTACACCCTCTTCGTCGTCGTCCACTGAGAAGGCTAGATTACTAGTGTCTCTGGAACTTCGCCTGCGTGAGCCAGACACAATGTTGCGAGATGAGATATCTCCCACGATGTCTCTAGGTGCCGTACGAGGCTCTGAGGCTTGCGCTGGCTGAACGGGAGGCGTGGGTGACGGTGACATCATTTGTTGAGTCTCCACTAGTTGCGAAGTAGCTTCTTTCTCCTGGGAAGGCGTATCCAAGCTCTGTGGCTCCGTCACCTGCGAGCCCGCGTTGACTGGTTGAGGAATATCCAGGTTTATTCCGGAGGCAAAGGTGCCGTGGTCGATATCCTCATTTTCTTCAACAACCCATGGCATAGACTCTAGGATGTCACTGATAGACTCCTTCTCTAGCTCTCGAGCGTTGAAGAACACATTTTCATCAAAGACAACATCTCGTACTGATCGTACGGATCCTCTACGTGGAAACCATACCCTCCAGATATTCGATGCTTCATAGCCGACGAGGTAGCCTATCTCGGCACGTGGCTCCATCTTCGCGGCGTTCGGAATACCTTGCTTCCGCACATACGCTCGGCAACCGAAGATCCTTAGATTCGCGAGATTCACACGCTGTTGTGGTTGATTAAGGAAAGCCTCTTGATAAGGGACTATCCACTGGCCGTTTGGTAGCTTTGTGGGCGATCTGTTGATGATCCATACAGCGGCTTTGACAGCTTCAGGCCAAAGACTCTTCGGGAGGCCTGCATCGGCTATAAGAGCGCGAGCCATGGTGATTATCACCCCCCAGATCGCTCTGCGAAGCCGTTCTGCTCTGGAGTGCCCACAACACTATGTTCAATGATGAATCCTTCATTCAACAGAAAGTCCTCTACTGTGCGACCAGCAGATCGTTCGTTATCATATCGGAATGCACGTATGGGAAGATTCCACTGCTTCTTAGCTAGTGCAACAAACTGACTAACCGCGTCTTGGCAGCCATTCTTCTTCTCATGTGTATAGGCCGCGTGGAGACGAACACCTTCAAGGTAAAAGTGCGTCAACCAGCGGTCTCCGTTGTAGCCTGGGTCGATTTGAACAAGGTCGAAGTGGATACGTCCGTATTTTCCATACGGCGTGCCTGTTGCCCGCCGAGAGATCTGACGCTTAGCCTTGGTCAATTGACAGACCTCGCATCTCTCAGGGTTATCGTGTTGATTATCCTCGCATATTCCGTCGATTTTGACCCCATCAACCATCTCCGGTAGCTTCTCTAACTTTTGATCAAAGGCGTGGCCCAACCGACGATGCCAGCGCCTCGCTGAAGCCACTGAGAGGTGAGGCTTCTCCGAATGCCGTCCGGCAAAAGCTGATTGGCGGTTCGGGCTGTAGATGACTGTGTAGAGGCCGTGATATCTCTCGACCTCAAGAACAGCTTCATTGCCTTTGAAGACTGCTTTTTCATCAGATTTGAAGCAGAAGCCCTTGTCCTCGATTACAGAGAGTGAGATCAAGTTTGTATGGAAGCCGGGTGAGTACCACACGTCATCTAGGATGACAGGCACCGCAGCACCTGTATGAGGGTGTCTTCCGGTGATTCTGACTTGCCCATAGCCTATCATCGGTGTCTCGGTTTTACCCGTCTTAACAGTGCTTTTTCGCGGCGCATATGTCAAGAATTGCTCGCGATCGTTGCAGATGTGAACAGTGGATCCAGAATCCAGAATCCAGCTATCTTTGAGAAGGTCTTCGTCCATCGCTGATGATGCGATAGCTTGAGTATCATTGGCGAAGAACACTAGGGGCTGACCCTCTTGTGGAGCCGTACCGGCTAGGTGAGCTGATTCGGCCTTCTTCTGCTGTATTTTCACGATTTTCTCTTGATCTTGAGGACTCATCTGCTTGATGTTTTCAGATATCCGTTCAATAGTGCCCTCTTTCGGTTTCCATCCTTCTGGTCGAATAGATTCATTAAGATAGAAGCACTTAGAGAAGTGATGTTGGGGATGAGTGTTACCACACGGACATTTCTTCCGGTAGGTCTTCTCCACAGGCTTAGCCTCAGGTTCACCGTTCAAAGAAGCAAGAGCTATCTTTGGCTGCTTCCGTCCGCTAGAGATCGCTAGATCCCCCCGGCGGCTACGGTAGCTAGCAATAACCTCATGAAACGTGACAGATTTCTCTTGATCTGCGAGCCTTTCGCGCCAGGCTGTGCACCAAGTGTCATCAACTAATTGAATGGCGTCCAAGAAATCTCGAATCGCGAAGTGATCTCCGTTGGAGCAGTCGGGTATGCCTGCGATCTTGCCCTCTTCAAATAGGCTAACCCACTGAGTTAACCAGTGGTTAGTGTCGCCTTGAGGCTTCTGTCTAATCATTTCTCTCCAAGCTCGGCGAAGTTGTTGCTGGCGGCTTTGAGGCTTTGGTTTAAACGTTTCAGATAACTTTATTAGCTTCTTCCGCGGTGAGTCCTCTCCCACAACAAGATAGTGGTGTTCCGTAGCTAACGAGCGGGTGATGAGGTTATTCAACCGTGACATAGTCTTCAATAGCCTCTGCCGGCGCTGGTCGCGGCGATCATACGCTTGAACGGCGAACGTATATCTCTTGAGTTCGGCATCATCTAGCTCCATGATATCTCTCTCCCGTTGGCGGTTATCCCGTGGTATCGAGGGCTCTTCCTGAGCCTTAGGCACCTGCAGGACCTCGTCATCCGCCTTCTCCGGATCAAGGTAGTCCCATACATCTTCTGCAACAGCCGCTGACTTGATATGGCCTATCCAGACCCTCCACTGCGCTTCTGATTGAAGCTTTTGGTCAAGCGGGACCTGCATCAGATCTTCCCTCGTGATATCGGACATCTTCGCACAAGATGTAGCTCAGATACTCAGATTCTCCTCTTATGTCGATTCCAAAGGCGGCTTTTCTTTGGTGCGGATCTTCGTGCGCTGAACGTAAGAGCTCACAAGAGGTGACTGTCGTTCAGGGGTATCCGACCGAGCGCTTCAGGGGGTTCGTAGACTGCAAGATACAGTGCAAGGTCGTCTAATATCTCTCAGACAGTCTGGCAACCGGGCTCATAACTGTCAGGATGAGGAATTAATGTACTGGCTAGTACTGCACATGTCCAATAGAATCTGATGATTGATTGAAGGTGTGTAGATCGGTTCAGCGATCTCTGGAGTCTACTGTCCGTGCTCTGGCGTGTTATGACACCGTATCCGAATTTAGCCCGAATACCATACAAATACTAGGGGAAATTGGGTGAACGATGAACAAGCCTATCCCAAAAGGCCATAGCGGTATTTGACCGCTCCTTTAGTTTGTCATTTGTTACTCCGCATGCACTAGGCGAAGATGCATCTATAGCGGTGTCGTAAAATGTTAGATCGCCTTTGCAAGCATTTGACTCAGAGCATGGGCCGCTGTAACCGTAGCTTGTAGGAGTTGCTGTTTTCGCAGAATATAGACCTTGATCTTGACCTGGAGCTGGAAGAGCCGTAGGACTTGAGTCTAAAGAAAACGAAGAGAGATGCCTTGATATGTGACGCTCGAATACTCTGGCATCAGACAAGGAATAAACAGCCTGTTTTGTCTGCTGGGCTGCAATTCTGATAGCTGGGGAGCTTGTTGGGATGACAGTAATAGTGTACGTCACATGAGTCGTGCTCCGAATAAAATCAGTGGGAGCTCCTGATGCCTCCAAACAGAGGTCTAGCGGAGCGGCGGCGACGTAAGTCCCGCTACAGAGGGCGATGAGAAAATTGGTTAATATCATTCTTTGCTTCTTGGAATAAACTTATAAGCGGCTGCTCTCAGGATTTGCAAGCTAGGCGCAACTCGTATACCGAATAGTCAAAAGCAAAGTCTTACTCGACCTTTATAATCGCTTGCGGAACTCACTGCATAGTCTTTGGTGCAGGCATGAGGTTGTGGGAAAACCTCATTATTTAGTCGCTCTTTGTCCTAAATGAAAGGGCGGCACAAGAAACCCAAAGCGGGCAGTGCCGATCAAAAGCATCAACAAAGAAGACAGTATATGAGCATTAATGGTTTTTATGCTATCTGAGCAGTTTTATTGAAGACTCTAAGCCTAAAAACAGCTAGACAAAAATACCCGTGAAGCACAAATAGATGGTCACTACATTCCACTATGTCGCTACTTGCCTTGAGCACTAAAGGCTAGACCTCCATCACTATGGTAGCTTTCCGTTCTTGTAAATATAATTCCACATCATCGTTTTCGTTTCCTTTCACATATGTTCTTTGGTAGTCAGCCCCTAATTGTGCCTTCCTGTTGGAAGAAAAAACGGCATTTAACAGTTGCACACGTTCTCAGGTGATCGACCTTGTAGGAAGATATCAACCATACACTCGGGAGCAGATGACTTTGCAAGGCTCTCCAGTATATGGACCAATGAAGTCACAGTCATACTGGACAGCTTGACCAATGCGAACAGTATCATCAACTCCAGGTAAGGAAGCTTTCTTCGTCATTGGATAATGTGATTCCTGCTTTTTCCCAAGCGGAATATTGCCGATGTCATGTGGCACTGGATCATTTAAGAGACAACAAGACTCCCAATCCTCCGATGGCTCAGTCAATCCAGTGGCCGAAATAAGGTTCTGATATGGGTGTTGTGACAGAGGCAGAGCAGGCAATTTTTCCCGAGGACAATTAATGCTGTGCTCTATTTGATTCGAAGATATCCAGTGCGGTAGCAGGATGCTGTCATCAGGAATAGTGGGATTCGCACAATCATATTTGAGCGTATCCCAAGTCTTCCAAATATTTTGCTCCGTCAAGGTTGGGCCAAGGTCTAAATCCGGTTCGATTTGAGGTAGAGTGTCGAGAATGTTTGAGAAATGTGGACTTCGGCAAAGATATGAGCCTGAAAGAGGATTATCACCAGCAGACAGACGGCATCGAAATATTTCAGCGGTCCCATCTGCCCAGCGTTCGGCCTGGGAAGGCGAGGGCGAACAAGGCAAGACCATATCCGCTGGATTGCAGACCAGCGTAGCTTCAGCGATGTGCGCTGACCATAGTAGTGTATTAGCCTTCAGGTAAAAGCGTTTAACCACAAGAATAAAATCCTACCATTGAAAGTATTGTCATCCCCAAGCCAGATCAAGGGCATCTGAGGCGATAATGGCCACTGAATAGGGCCTTGAGATACTAAAGGGTGCATATCGCTCTGGAAGTTGTCTAGTGTGTCCTGACAAACATTACTGTCGGCATAATACGATAGGTTATCGATAAAGCATAGAGTTTCGAAGTAGTCCCCTGTATCGGCGGGCAAAGAAAATTGCGGAGAACCTGGAAGCGAAGCAAACTGTGTATCGGACTCTGGTGGCGGAGTAGATTCTGATGGAGGAATAAACTCCGAAGTCAACATCGACATGCTCAGATAGCGCTCCTGATCTCTGTCTCCAAAGGTTTCTGTGCACATGATAAAGCGCAACAACATGAGGCGGTATCCAATGACATGAAAGGGATGCAATACGTCACATAAATCCCTGTGGCAAGACGTGGAAAGTAAGAAAGGTGATACTAATCATTAAAAGTCAGCAAAAATATTGAGAAAGGAAGAGATCGAACAGGTCAAAATTGCAAGGAAACATGTGAATTAACCCATGGATAGCGGTATTTATTTGATTTGACCAATTGAAGTGGTTCTTTTGGCTCCCAGGAGCAAGGTTGGAGCAAAGTTATACTCCCTGTCATTAAATCAACCTACCTTTAAATTTGTGTTTCAACGATTGCTAACCAATGAATTTCCGTTGGATACGCTGTTCCCAAGAGCGTTAAATCCGTCCAGCCTACCGATGACTCCTAGGGCTTATTCGTTCTCGTCCAGTTCGCTAAGTAATTCGCGCTTTGCAAAGCCCCCTCAGAACATGCTGAGCAAACAAATCAATGCAGTTCTTGGCGAGTATGTACTGCTTATCCGGCGACTGATTATGCTGTGTTCCAGCCGCGTGTTGAATCATTTTTGTCTCAATAATAATAGTACTGGCGCAATCAATCACACTAGCGTGGAGAAGCGGAAAGCACTAATTAGAGGTACAGTGGCATCCACGAGGCTTGGGATTATATTATGATCGCCCATCACATTGCTCCCGATCTTGCTCCGTAAGTATTTGTGCGTGGTTTCTGTTAGCATTATCCTATGTATGTGTTCATTGCCACTGAGCTTCGCCATTGTTTTCGTACGATTACTGTCACCTGTACTATTGCATCTAAAACTTTTCTCTGAGGGTTTTGTTAACAGTTACCTTCGGAAATTACAGAGCCATGTAGCTTAGACCCAAAGAAAAGTGAAAAGAACCCCCCAAAACCCCAACACAAAAAAAGAAAGTAAAAAAAGGGACAATGATAGATAGCCAAATAGGCTAGTTCATGGTGACAGGACAGGCAAGTCTACAAAGTAGACGCACCCTGGTTTGTGACAATAGGTAGCATATGCCGGTTATAATCCAAGTCCAACAGTCATTGGTTTAATCATATACTGTTCTTTGCCACCTGTTGAATCTCGGACCGTTGATCCCAGGACAAGATTACGGTTATAATCAGCGTCAGGATCTGCCGCTTCGTGCCGTTTATTCTACACTGTCTAGCATTCGCTAGTCACTTTCGGACCGTGATGACATCCAAACAGAGTAAGCTTCTCTTGAAAGAATATCTTTTCTGGGGATACTAACGACTAGAAGATCGTACTCTGTCTATAATCACCAATCACAAAGCTTTTAGATGCTCCCACGGCGATCTCCCACCGAGAGAGGAAAAATGCAGTTCCTGCTATGGTGTTGGTAACCCCCAGATCATCAAACACAACATGGTTCGTCATGTGGTATTCTATAAATGGTTATCGGAGTCTTTCGAACATGAGGAGACCTCCAAGGGGGAAGTAGTCATCGAATCAGTCGAGCAGGCGACGTGGCAGTCGGTGAGAAGAGTGAAGCTGTAAGGGTGGGATGAACAGAAGACAGACACAGGGATAATTGGTGTATCCAGAACCCGCGAAAGTTTACCGTCAAAACATACTAGTCAAGAGACCAGTGACCTCTTGATTAAAACAATGATATCATTCCAGGCTGCAAGCACCTACGAAAAAGGGATATCAACCACCTCGTAACCTACTCACTCTAAAATCAGGCAAACAGTGTTCTTTAGGCTAGATTACGGAAATTGCATGATCGTCATGTATAAAAAAAAGGAAACACGGCCTGTTCCGTTATATCATGAACTCAATCTGGAAATAATATCTGTATAGTGCCGCATGATTGGAAACCCCAAGCTAATTATTGAGGCTTAGAGTGTGTTTCACTTAGATCTTGAGCAAACCTCATTGCGTTCGTGAACATTGCGTGCGGTTGTACGAGTAAACTTGCTGCCACATAGGGTGCAGGAGACTTTGTCGCTTTCGCCGTGTCGTTCTCGTTGGTGACGGAGAAGATTGCTGAAATTCGAGTAGACGCGGCCTTTACAATCACCCTCCCAGCATACATTGGCAGTCTGTCGTTTTTCCTTCGATTGCCGGATAAGAGCAATATCTTTAGAGGGCAGCTGAGAATTGATCCCGATATTGGAATGGATGCTACCATGACCACGAGAATCTGAAGGCTGGTGTAGAAAATGGTGATCAAAATTGTCTCTCTGGCTTTGACACACCACAGTACTGGCTTCAGGTAGGACAGGTAGTGGGATAGCTGGGGACCAAGCACTTGGAACTGTCCGGTCGGGGAGGTTTTTATTAGAAAGCCTCACTGTAGGTTGAGGCTCGTAGCCAAAGGTATGCATCGGCTGCGAATAGTCTGCCGCTCCACTGGTCACCGCGAAGGGTGCATGAAAGTTGGTGAATGGATAACTCCTGTGATATTGTAAGTTGAATGCAATCTCATGAAACTTACTCTACTCACATGTCGATGGGTAATCTAGATGAAGTCAGAGCACTGGCAGCCAAAGATATATTTGTAGATAGAAAAGTACTGACAAAGATTGCCTTTGGCCAAAGCCGTGTTGGTGTTCGGGTTCTCGACAGGAGCTGGAGCAGTGAACTGAGAGTCGAGGGGACTCAAATTGCGAATGCAAATAGTTTGGCAGAGAGGGCCAAGGAGGGCCTGCAGGTTTCAGTAGTGGCTCGAAATACAGTGGTTAAGGTCTTACCAGGGATGCGAGAATTATGTGACGCTGCCACAAGTGTTGGTTCAGCAGCACTGGCGCTGGCGAGCGAATGTCATCAGCATGCGCTCCAAAGGGACAGAAAATCAGCTGCCACTCCTTACTTTGTAGGAACTGCCATTGCCACTTCGTCAAAAGCAATTGTCGCTGGGCGAGTGCCTGAACGCATGAGCGAATTGTGTCGTTTGGTCCCAAGATATATTCCAAATAGCTAATAACGAGAAAATATAACGGAGGTGTTAAGTGGATTCAGGACGAAATTAGTCGGAGATTGGGTCCTCAGACATGCAGGTTGGAAAGACACACGGAGGAGAAGGGCACTGGATTTAAATATAAACTCCTTCGGTATTGTCGCCAACTCGGTGAGCTTTACCATAACTGGATTTGGTCTCCACCTCGCCTATAACGCAAAAGTACGTAAGTTACAAGTTAGGATACTGTGGAGCATCCTGTGGCTAGCATGAGACCATACAATACCCCTGCTTAGCTGAATGGGTCTTGGTAAGAGCACTGACCGTCGATCCAATTTTCTGAATGGGAGTTCCACTCCGCAATAGCACACTCTCTTTCTACTGACAAGCCCGTCGAAACTTTACAAAAGCTCTGCTGCCCCAGGGGGAGCCTTTTAGAATCAGAGACTTTCCTTGATAGAGTAACTAGCTCTTCGGCCTATGGGTGTGAGTTCCCAGAACAACAACTGTCATGAGAGAGCGATATTGACCACCGATAGCTCAGTCACCGGTCTGTTTGCAACAATGAACGAGCAGATGCCTGACGTGAATGAATATGCCGGATCTCTTATTAAAGCGGTCGTTGGATATACTGGTACTCAAGACAAGCTTACCACTATCGTTTGCATGACCTGCGGGGAAAACTTCACGTCTTCTTTTCCTGATGTGAACGGAACTGTCCCATGTGGGAACCTCAGAATGTGGGAGTGGGCCTATCCTTATGGCGGTGACATTTATGTTTATATGAGCTGTTATAAATGCTCAACGGAATATTCGCAGCAAACCATGGATCAAAACATGGTTTTGGAATTGACAACAGCAATGACAGAGAAGTTGTCGGAGTCCAATCCTGAGCCAGCACTGAACCCTTATCTTTACAAGACAGTCATCGCAATATGGGGTGTTGACGCGAAGGCCGTTACTGTTCTACGAGACCTGCATGACCGAACTTGATATTGAGAACAGGACGGGTATCGAGACTAGAAACCCTGTGAACTTGTTGAAACAAATATAAAGCCAAGAAATCATTCGAATATACCCTCCTCCTATATCATTGGGCTTTTGAGTCGCCGGTTATGTACCCCATTGGATAGATATCTGTCTCCGCAAATGGGTTATGGTGGTAACCGATTCTGTCCCCTGATCTCTTTCGACCAGCCAAGAGAAAGACAAATAATTCGCTTTGTTTTCCATTGCTTCCACCCATATCTCAAGGGTAGGACAATCGTTATTGAGCGAGTCGGGGAGAGGGCTGGGACCGTGGGATTGGGGAACCGAAATGATGCTTTCGAAAGGAGGGTGGTAGGTATTGGTAGCCATGGCGAAGACTGTGCGTAATGTACTTTGGGACGCTTTAATTTTCTCTGATAGAACAAATTGAAAGTATCAGTCATGTTGTAGTCAACAGAAGACGAAAGGCATTGCTCACGACAAAAAAACAGGAAGAGAAACAGACACGGAATACCAAGTAACCATAGTGCCGAGTAGGTTCTTTTCCCCTCTCAGTTTCAGCAGCCTAACTGTTCTTGAGGCTGTCGTGTTCGAGCAAGTTCCGTTAGGTGAAAGGGGCTTCCGCTGCTGTGTGTATACTGAATGACCAGCCAGATTCAGTCGCGTGAAGGCTTGACGCGAGGCACCATGAAGCCTTGATGCTTTGAGCTCTTCGAGATCAGCTAAGCTGGAAGATTATCCTCTCATGCGCGAAGCTTCCATTGTACACGAGAACATGCTTCTGTTAGCTCAAGGTTTCTTAGGAACAAAGCAATCGACGGGAAAGACAATCAGTTTGGTTGAGATGGCGCAAAGCAGAAACCTGAATCTTACCTGAAGAGGACGGAGGGCAAAGACTCCTCAAGGTGCTGTGTCTTCTTCAGTGGCTGAAAGTAACACAGGGCTTGGTGGGATGGATTGAGTAATCCGAGATCAGGTGCTGAAGGGGGCAGCCTGAGTTAGCCGGAACACCTTTCGTCCGTCCCGATCCAGACCTTTACCCACGCAAGAGATTGATTGCAAAGATGCAGGGCTGACAAACTTGACGATGGATGTATCATGCAAGCATTTCATCGCAACCAGTTCACACAATGGCAAGCTCACGTGTGAGAAGGCATGCGCAATCAATACTGTGGACAACATGGCGGCACATGGAGCGTACTGTACCACCTCAACTCATACTACTTACGCCCATACACAAAGCATTCTTCGCAGAGGTGCTTCTTTCTTTCAGTACAGCTTCCTTTTGCATACTGCCCACTGTCTCTGGTCTTGATTGTGAGATGAAACATGGGTCCAGACCCCTCTGGCTTAATCACGACCGCATCAAACCAGTTTCAGAGTGAGCTGTGTACCTCCTGGTCAACTTTTCTATCATACTGACATCCAACTATACATAGCCCGCAATATCCAGCCTCGCGAAAAATCTCTCCGCGTCGAGTCCTCCCATTGATGTCGAGAAGCCGTGCTCCTCCGAAATAATCTCCGCTTCAAATCAAGCCCCTTTCACGATACCAAAAGAGCCTCGCTTGCCAATAACAGGTGGCCCTCAGCTTTCCTTGAAAAGCGAATTGGTGGTCTCATTGATGTACAGGTGGTGTACCGGCGCAGGATAGCCTATGAGCTTCCTCGGGGAAAGCGCAACAATCATCGAAAAACATACAATTCAACAAGTCGGTTTCCGCTTTCTTCGCGAACCCTTTGATACAATGGGCATGCAAATTACCAGCCAGAGAGAATCAGAGGGGCGCATTTCCACCCGTTGATCAAACTCGCATGGTGGCATTTACACATGATCATTCTGGGGTGAGTTACAGTTACAGTGAGGTGGAATCATAGCTGTGTGGCAAGGTCGTTAGATAAAAAGAAAAAAGACCACCCTTGAATCTACTCTTTTCAGCCAAGGGATGACATAAAGGAGGCTATAGCAACTGTGTTGATATGAAGCGTCTAATCTTTCGTCTTTGACCGAAGTCATAACACCAACCCCCCGGGTCGTCCGAATAGGAGCGTCAGTTTGGCAAGTAGACTATGACAGAAGCATAATTGAACGCGAAGAAGTAACATTGTAGAATTGCAAACCAAATTGTTTCAGTCTTTCTGTTCCAAGTATGTTCCCCATTTGTCACATTATAAGCCAGCCATAAGTCATTGAAACGTGTCTCGGACTCTAGGTTAAAATATTGTGTTCCCTGCGTTATTATTCTGAATCAGTTCTGATATTCACAGAAGTGGACCAAACGTACGTACTGTTCCAGCTCCTCCATTTCACGTAGGAGTAAGAGCTTTTCTACCTCATGGATATCTTCGACCTCTATACCAGGTGACCACAGAGCTTCGCGGAGCTTCAGGAACGGAAGCTTTGCGCCTTGGCTTCCTTGTAATATGTAACAAAGCGCCCCGCGGGTATCTGAGACAATCAGTCCCAAATTCGGAAAATGTATATCCAACTCACGTACCGTGTTCCTCCAACCCCATTAAAGTGAGGCCGGTTGATGACGTAGTTGGCAGTAGCGGGCCCATCACCCCCATCCAGAGTTTCAGGATATATGCACATGTCTTTAGGTCCAAGCTTTTTAGGACTTGAAGATAAAAATACTCTCGGAAACGAGTGCCATTCGATCTAAATCTTGTCAGTATACTCCTCAATGCCTCACATTCATCCGCCGAAAGCCGGCCATTGACCCATGAGAAGGTTATCCCCTCTGAATTGCGATTGTTGGGGTTAGGTGATGGCAGCCGGTTTTTCTTAATTGGTCGCACAAAATGGAGGTTCGGCTCGTTGGGGTGGAAGGGAACAGAGCCGGTAGCTTTCTCATTCCATTGTCTCCTGTATAAATCAGGTGTTAGCTATATCATGGTAAAGAAAGCTGTTTTCTTACTTATTCTGCGGGTGTTCCTCAACTATTATCATCTTTCGTGAGGGAATCTGCACACCGCTGGAATTTGCCATGTGAATTGAGGCTGCAATGGAGTGGTTTGTGGACATTGTGTGGGCGTGCCCGTCGGACTCCTGAAACCTAGTACCCGTGCCATCACAAAGAGAATTGCCAACCGCCTCGACCTGGGAGGAGATATGACGTGCTTCAATGTAATTATGTTGTTGGACATTGAACGGTAAACTGCTGAGTTGATTCGACGCGGTAATAGATGAATATGTCTCAGCTGGAGATCTGGTGTTCTCCGAATATACCCATGTATATGGCCCAGAGGCAGGGTAGACCTGATGAAAAGGCCAGTCTCCGTTGTTCGTCATGATCTCAAGGCATTCAAACCCTGAGATAATTCAGAATGGAATCCAAGTCAGGACAGCAGATCTCCCCCGGTGGGAAGCCAGAGAGCAGGTGCGTTAACGTTTTGGAAAGCCAATATATTCGGCTATATCGGACTTGACGCGCACGCTAAAGGTCACGACTAAGTCGAATCAGAAGTGAGACTCGCCTCTTGAATCCCTTAACAGATGTTATAACTGCTTTGGGTCAAGGTCTGAACCCTGTGGTGGTTCTCAAAACAGAAGAGGGTAAAGTGGGAAGGCCAATGGCTGTCCTAGGCCTCTTCACGAAGGTAGGTTATCAAATGGCTGAACAAAATAAATCGACTCAGGATCACATTCCAAAGGTTTCAACGCCGATGGGAAGGAAGCATGGCGAGGTTTGCTCCTGTAATAAACTGGTGGCTAGGGATAGGAAGACAGATCAATACCGCCTATTTCTTGGTCACGGGGCACCGGATATCGCTCCTTTTCTACATGCGGAGGGGTCTGCCTGGCTAGCCTACCATGCGCCATTGCCGCTCTCATATTATTTGCGCAATATTTTTCATTCAAATCCTGCGCGAGACGCTTGTGAGTCTAGGCGCGCCATGACCCAAGCTCCAAAGTTACAAGGGCACAGGTCAACCCCTGCCTGCATTAGCGCGAATACGAGGCCTTTCAATACGTCGAGCTCTCATACTTTTGAACAATAGCGCACTGCTTCCCTTGGCGCTTTGAGGTTGATTGACCAAGGAAGCGGACTAGTGGTAGCTTCGTGGCAATGCTTTTCAAGGTTTATATCCTTTAAAGCGCGGCATTTATTGAACGCAGAGAGACAGGTTTACTTCGGATGAAAAATGTCAAAGGCAATACTACCATCTTCTGCCGCTCCATTTGCGCCCCGAACGTACCCCAGTGTGGTCCTGGATTACAAAATCCCGCAGTGGTTGACGGCAACGCTTAAGCGAGTGAGACCGGCCGGGCGAAGCCTGAAAAGCCTTAAACAGCATACCGAGAGTCTGGCCAAGATACTATCAGCAGAGAGTGCAATCTGGGCGTTGTGTTCGGTGATGTTGGGAAGCCCGCCTGGGATGATCCACATCGAGGCATATGTCGTGCATGTCGACATGGTCTTTCGGAACGAGGTGTCTTTTAAGCTAACCGAAGAGACGCTCGATGCCCTGGAAAGCTTCCATAAAGAGTTCCAACTGGCTGTCACAGCTTCTTACGCCGGGAACTGGCCTGGAAAGGAAGCTCAGCTGAAGAACTTACAGAAAGACTTTGTCCAAGCCGTCAATATGTTCGTGTACCGGACTAACGCCGAGGCTTTGGATGAACTGGAGGATGATGGCTCTGGAGAGTTACTCTGTGGCAGCAGTGAGGATGCCAAGGCAGCAATTTCCCGTCTTTTTGTGCCAATGATGCCTCCACCGCATGCTGTACATTTCCTATGCCCAGTAGTTCCTTATCTCGATGGGACTAAGCCAAGCGCACACAGACCTATCCATCTGTTCGAGAAAGACATGTTACGGAGTACTCAACCAGGTATTCGCACGTCGAATACCAAGGACCATCACAATACAGGGCTGGGTGATGGTTTGGACATCATTGATGCTGCATTTTCGCCGATAGATCTGGTTGGCGGCCCGCTCTTCACTGGCGAACCCGTCCCAGATATCCATCCGATTTCTCATATGCCGATGTATCGCTCAATCACGGCAGCAAATGTGGAGCCTTTTGGTGGAAGTCCCTCTTCCTTTCGTTGATTTGGGCTGAATGTCGCAAGATATCTCTGCTGCTTGTCTCAGACGTCTTTTATATATACCAAAAAATGATGGGTTTCCATCGGGGCATGAATAGAGAGCGGGCCACTGGAATGAATTGGAGGCGTTCCTAGAAAGACAAAACGAAACCGTGGAATAAGAGGAGCTCTATTCGGAGATATCTGATGCAGAAGAGGAGGAGGTTAATGTGTTCGTGTTTTTGTGGTGAGGTGGTATCCTGAGTGTATATTTGCAAACTTAGCAACTTCTTGGTGTACTTAATATCAATTGAGGCCTTGAAGTCAAACTGCCTTTTTGTATCGCGATCGGAATCCATTTTAGAAAGTTGGCTTTAACCATAACTGGTGCTTTATCGTCACGCCACGTTCGTACGAGTAATGTTGCTGCTCGTATTGAAAATGCCCTTTACTTTATTAGAACGGGACAGGGAGTGTGTAGAATGCTTACCTACACGCAGTAATGAGCAGCAGAGCTGGTAGTTGTAGTTAGTAAATGGCGTCTGCGGTGGTAAATTGGAGACATACCCTTCTTTAATGATCACCCTTGGTTGTCCCAGGACCGGGTCCTCTTTCAAGCTATCGGCCACGCATGGCTTCCATAGCCACGGATGTATCGCTCTCTCAGTCTCAACAAATATATTTTCTTTCAACTTCACCCGATGAGTAAAGATATCGCTTCTACTCTTCATTAACATGGTTTGAACTTGTCGACAGCAAATAAACTTACATTGGCACTCCCTGCAACGACCATACTTGCCATTCTATACAAAATGGGTCTTTGAAGTCAGCCACAGATTTTGTCTGTGTCTGACCATCCTCAACATGAATGACACGATAGGACGGTTTAGCAACAGCCTGAGACTGGCCATTCCGGGAAATATCCGGAAAAACATTGGTGTTCTGGGCTTGGGGCTTGGGGCTTGAAAATAGTCTGAACCATTGGTTTGAGTGGCCCGCTTGGCGAAGTGAGCTCATCTTGGTGAGACGTGATGATGTGGCACTTCAGTGCATCTTTTCTAGAAAATGCCCACCTACGCGGGCCACACAGGCAAATGAATGGTTTTTCTCTGGTGTCTGATATTGATCGAGTCAGTATAACAAAAGATTTGGACAATTGGCAATTACTTACGGATGCGAATGTGACGCCTCAAACCTGAGTGTGTTCCGAAACACTTGCTACATTTCACACAGGTGTGCGCCATTTCTCCACGGCGTCTCTTCAATTGCGTTGAAGAGGATGGCCCAAGAGGCTGCACAGAGGTAGGCTGCGGACTAGTTGACTTTAGAGTCGCGCCAGGGCTTGAAGTCCGTGAAACCCTACGGATATCTCCTGAGGGGTTTTGGGAAACAGGTGGCATTTCTTTCAAGAAGTCAGTATAAAGTCCCGAGTTCCGCTACTCATAAGGCTGACCATGTTCAGTTATCAGTGCGCTGTGAAGAGACAGGCCAATTGGACGGTATTGATGCGAGTTGGCAAGATTGAAAGCTGTGCCGAAACTTCTATCTATTGGTGGTGGATGGTAGTAAATTGGGTAGTAGTAAATTGGGTAGTGTACCGGCGGATACGTGATTTGTGGAATGTTGGAACTGGGTAGGGTTGATGGGTTCCCTTCATTTTTCGCGAGCATCAGTCTCTGTAAACGTTCCTTCTGGAACCTCAATGGGGGATTGTGAAGGAACTCCCTACCGGGGTTGAGAAAAGCAGCGCTTTGGTATGGATGATGATGCGTCTCAGTCCGGTGCCTATTTGCATCGGATACAAACCAGTTGCCATTGGCATTGAGACCCGGCATACTATCTGGCAGTAGTGGGGCAAAATTTGACGGAGGAAAATTCATGGTCAACCGGATATGAATCTATGAAATCCTTCCAGGCAGAGTGACTGTAACTCAACCGGCTGTAAACTGGTTGGAAGGGGCAATATAAGTTGCTCCATAGAAAAGAAAAAGGAGTGCCCGGGATGATATACAAATATATTTGAGATCATGTAAACGATCAATGCGCAGACTCCATTAGATAATGCACACTTAAATATTGGGAGACTGCACACAAGACCAGATGGGAATAGATGTGTGGTGTGCGTTGCGTCTGCATGAACTCATCGTGGAAATGATGGACTTGACCTAGCCCCTCAGTTGGGCGGAAGGGGCGTGTGAAAGGAAGGGAGGAGGTGGCTCGGTGGCGGGTCCTCATTTCTTACAAGTGTTCCCGGCGTCAATAGTGGCAACAGAATCCCTCCGCCTGGTTGTCCTTTCCCACAGTTCCCCTCATGATTTAATTCGATGAAGTATGCTGTATTGAAAATTTGTGTAATTACGGAGCTGATACCAAGGGTCCCCAGTAACCGCTTTGTGGAGCCTTCGTTCGTTCCACCGTACCGTTCCAGATACTGAGACAGTTTCCTGGGAACCTGATTACGGTGCCTTGCTGATCCTCGCGTCAACGCTCGGCTGGGCCAGTCGAGATATTGAGCCCCACACAACTAGGTTTGGAGCAATGTGATCGTTCTGGCGCTCTGCTTTGCCTATGATCTATTCTTATGACTACTGGCACTCTCGCAGAGCTGACAGGGGTGTCTGAATTCTCCAGGGGCATTTGGGGCTATCCAATTTGACCCAATGATTTGGGTTCCATCGAATTGGAATCAAGCCGTAAATATAGGTTCTCGAATAGTCCAGGACTTCAGGCGTACTATAGATGATGTACAAATAGCGCAGAAGTGCTCATGCATCTTTCCTCAGTGATTGCCATCATTGAAACTTCTTTCTCTACACTAAATCCTTCCTGCCATGGCGGTGGAACGGTCCTCTGAGGTAAGGCTTCCGACCCATCTCCACGACTGGGCGCTAAAACTTCGAAGCACACGTCGCTACATTTCGTGGTTCTGCATATGCCACAAACCCCATTAAAAGCCCTTTGTGGATTGTGTTTGAGCGAAGTGGAGCTAGCAGAACCAGAGTTGCTTAAACTGAAGTCCGAGGCTTCCAATCTCATCAACATTTGTCAAGCCCTCAAAAAAGACAACCCTGACGAGACGACGCTCCAGAATTTGGCCCGCAACCAGATACTGGAAATCCACACGCAAGAAATGGTTGGACATTTTACAGGCAGAGCCCAAAAAATGCTGTCACTCGTCGCTTGGTACTTTGACCCGCTGTTCGCATCAATCACCAGTGGGCTTCTTCGGTTTTTATCTCGCCCCGGTGAGCAACTATACAACGTTTGCACGCATATATATCCACATTGCAACTTTTCTAAAACCTTCGAACATTTTGAGGAGACGCTTAGGCTTTTTTGGAACGGCTGCCGCTGCTTGTGCTCAACGGCCTTGAAAGGTTAGATTTAGAGGTTTGACATCATCTTGGGATGCTTTGGGAAATGCACACTATTTTGGAAATAAGTGTCACTTCCATGGTCACCAGAAATGGGCGTTAAAAACAGCTAAGAAATGAATAGTTGTCGTTTTGTATAATAGTACTATATCACATGCATTATTTTACGGGTTTTCCCTTCCTCCGGCATACATGTCCTTCGGTTGTATCCACTCAAGAGTTAACGTATTTCACATGCGAGCGGCCCACCCCAAAACACCATAGTAAATGCGATAGATTACAGCTTTATATCTCAACAACAATGGCCTATAGGTATTTTTCATTTTAGCAGAATGTTTTTTAGGTGATATCTAGCCTCTTTAGGGAGCTTGGAGATTTTCTATGTCTTCATGATATATATATTTGTAACTCATGGCAGTGTAATTTTCAGTAATTTTTGAAATGATGATAATATGGCTTTATGATTTCCTTGAAATTGAAACACAGTGCTAATAAGTCTTATCAATAGCTATTGGTAAATAATGAAATATAATTAAGACGTGGTTGTTGAGATAAAAGTATAGAATATATCGCATTTACTATAGTGTTTTGGGGTAGGCGTCTCGCTTGGGTGGGCGGCTCGCATGTGAAATGCGTTATCACTAATTTGCCTGGCATTCCAGGTTTATATTGTGCGATTTCTATACGCTGCCTAAGTAAATGACACGGCTTCTGTCTAATTCTCCCGATGTTCCGCATATGGACATATGTGGGAAGCTGGTAATTCATCATCACAAACCACCAAGTATGGGAGATGTCTTCATCCCCATCAGGATCCGTATGCTGGTAAATAGTCTGGTAATGATGAGTTCTAGCTTTACATAACCTTGGGTGGAGCAGATCTTACCTTACAATTGGCAGTCTGTCAAAAGATTTATGAGACGGTAGAAGTCTCCATGGTACAACTGTTGCTTTGGAGTCGACCTCTTCCTGGCCTGTTGCGGTGCATATCACGCACGTGGCGATTCGCATTGCTGCGGACAGAGAAAGATTTGCCACATCCAACATAAGCGCATCGGAAAGGCTTTACATCAGTGTGGGAACGGGAGTGGATGCGCAGTTGGGATGGGCGTGAAAAAGCACTGTAACATGTACTGCAAACATACGGTTTGTTCTGGTGAGCATCCTTGGGAGGTGCTGTCGCTTGGTTCTGAGTCTGGTGCATGGCTTCGGTCGAATGATGGACCAGTGACACGGTTACAGAGGCTGGAAATCGAAATATCGTGTTTTTCGAAGGATACGAGCAACTATCTGTTGTAGTGCCGCCGAGGACATTGACAGGTGTAGATTGAGGTGCAACACTGGTTATAGATGAGTCCGAAACGCTTGGGGCATAGGAAGGGTTGTCTCCCGAGCCGACCTGGAAAGAAGAGTATTGGTGATGGCTATTGCCGTTGACATGCGGTAGGCTCTCATTGTGGAACACCTTCGGGTTGTGATCTGGGTTTGTTTCACCGACGTGGGGAAAAGGGCGTCTAAAGCTCTCTCGTTTGGCGTGTAGTCGCTTGTAATGGACTCGAAGATTGTCACTGTGTGAGAAGGTGCAGTGGCATTCAGGAATCCAACAGGCAAATGGTTCCTTCTCCAAGTGGCTTTCCTTATGAAGTGTGAGGTGCTTTGGGGTTGTGAAATGCTTTGTGCATCCATGTTCGTCGCATTTGACACCCGACGGCTTGACGATAGAGCCCAGCGTCGCTCCACTTGACCTGGAGAGTGTGGGCCGCTTCTTGCGGTTAAGGTGCTTCAGGTCCTGATGAACGGAGACCTCAAGCCCCCTGTATGGTCGTTGATCTCCGCTAGACGACTCATTTAATGATGCGTCCGTACCAAAATGGGGTTCCAGGTTAAAAAGAGGCTTTGAGAGAATTTGCTGCCCGAATACAGGGTGCTCCGGATTGGAAAAGCAAGGCCCGAACCTTGGAGTATGGGGATAAGTCTCGTCAGGTATGATAGTATGCTGGGTCATGGGATTGTTCGACGGCGTCTGCTGGCACGCTTCGGGTACTGACGTCAAGCTGGAAATGGGTGTCGCCTGGTTTGTGGTACAATGGAATGAGTAGGGAACGCCAAAGACATGCGAGCCTTTAGTAAGACAACCCTCATCTTCGATTGGCGATGAAGCCTGCACAGAACCCCGGTACAGGTCTTGAATACGTAAGGAGAGCCGTTAGCCTTCCTAGAAATGCGATTAAAGCCAAAGAATACGTACAAGGCAATTGGTTCAGTCTCCATAAATGAAGCCTTCGCACCATAATGGCCATTGTGAGTGTCTGTCGGGTTGATGAACTGATGTCGACAATTTGCAAAGATCTGTATAACTCTCGAAAAGGTATCGGCTGCCCATGGCCTCCGCAGAGAATGAAGAAAAGGACTTCTTTTCTTTCTGGTGATTTTAGTCAGTCTGGAAAGACAAAAGCTGCTCCAGGTTCGTTTACCTGCCGTAATTGGCCACCATGGGTCTTTTCGTTCGAAAGGATAGTATTTTGTATCCCCCACTGCCAAAATCCATTGTGCAAGTATGGTCCTGCTGTCTATCGGATCGATGTTGTCGAATATATATTCATAGAGCTCCATCAGCGATACGGGAAACCGGGAAGTCGCCCAATACATCCGCACTATGAGGTTCTCAACCACCCTTTCTATATCCTCGAAGAATTTTTGCCCGAAAGGTAAGTGTGAGCCTAAAGTACAGGGTCAGTGTAGCCTGGTATATGAACGCATCGTGCTCACAATTTACGAGTCTCTCCATCTTTCAGCCGTCGATCAATCTCGGGTGGTAGCAAGCACTTTCTTAATCCAGACCCGCGGCTCAACGTCGTTATATATCCGCAATGTGATGCACAACAGGGGCGGAGAGCAATCGGGCTGTCCGATAATATTTAGCGTCCCTCATTTTACTTTGATCGTCATCACTAAGTACCATTGTCCAACTCCAGGATCGGTTGATCAATTAGAATTGGTTCCGCGATGGGAGGCCAAAGCGAAGTTTTAGTACGACTTCATTAATGTACATAGAAACCTAAGGTTACCGGTCGTCCTTACTGTGGATTCCAACTTCAGGACTTCAGGGCTTGTTGCGGCGTGGTTATTTTTCTTGCCTGAAGCCGATCAGATTGATTTGCTTTTAGACGATAGGGTCACAGCTTCCTATAAATGACCCCTGTAGATACTACTACTACCGCACGAGCACCACCCAAGAGGTCAATGTGTAAAGCACAAGTATGCGGTCGAGAAGGTGAATGATTTCAATTATTCACCAAATGGGAAAGTGGAGCCCCGTAATGATAATTTTGCTCGAAACAAGGTCCAATGGAAAAGATGCGTGGCGTGCAGCTGCGTGAACTGATCACCAGTCTCAGTGAATGATGGACCTAGCCGGACTTGGAAGGAAAGGGAGAGGGGATCTTTTTTACCGGTATTCCGGGCGTCACAAGTGGTATTAAAAGCCACAGACACTCATTCCTTCCCGGCTTTTCCTACCAGCGAAGGAGGTTTTAATTCACTGAAATCTATTGGGGTGAAACGGGCCGTAATTACGAGAGCTTCCAACGTATAAAAACTCGTTTGAGAACGAAGGCACACAGGGCAGGCATATTTCTTGTTTGCTTCCTTGAATATGCCCTCTATAACAGCAAGTCTGTTTTTGTCTTCCGACATTTGTTGGAAAGTCAAGGCCAGACCACAGATCTGTGAAGTAGAAAAAGACTAGGATAAGTCAAGTCTGAAAAAGAGCCTAAGAGATTGAAACGTTTAAATAAATGAGGCACTGTCCCATATGCGACGACCTTATGAGCCTCGATCTGGCACTAAACTGGCGGTGGGGAGACAACGCAGCTAGTGAAGCCTCTCCAATGCTCAGGCGGCCTGTACTGCGCTTGCAGATCTTACAAATTCCTAACTAGGCATATTGGCCTACCGCTGAAGTACAAATCAGACTTAGGTACCACAAATCACCGAATCTGCCATGCCTAGTAGCTAATCTAGGTGCAGGTCTGAAGCACGACGCCTGGCGGCTCCGAGTCCAGCGGTGGAGATGAAACCGAAGCACCCCTGCTGGAGCTTAGACTAAGTTGCTAATATGATTAGCTCTGGAACTAGTAAACCTCGAGTGATCTCCAATGGTTTGATTCTGGTTTTTGAAGTAATCACTAGTTTATAGCTATTCTCGATTACTCGCATACCGAGCTTCCAAGCTTATCCACTCCGTATGCAGAACTTTGCACCTAGCTTGGCGGTTCAGATCCCGGTCCCGTGGGTTTGTTGACTTGTCTCCCTCCAATATCCGATGTGGCTCAATGAACACGGTCTTGCGAGATCCATCGACCATCTTCGCATTGAAAAGCAGATACGCCTGGACCTCTTGGTAGCAATTGAGTTCTCCCATGTAAGTGTCTAGCATTTTGAGGTCGGGCGGCTTTGTAGGGCCGGTGCGTGAATTGGCTAGCAATCTATCCACTTAGCAGTTTCCCTTGGTAGTGACCAAATTTCGATATCTTACTTCTGGAGGGATTGCGAGGCCATTTTGTACAGGTATCTTCGACTGGTGGTTCCACGGAAAGGTATGGTGTTTGGTGGGAGACCCCGGTTGTATAGAAACGCGGGTTAAAGTATAAGATGGGCGAGCTGGCACCGGTGGAGGGTCGGTGACTGTAGGCGTACTGTACACCAGTGGCGGAGGACATGTAGGTAAATTGGATTTATGTACGATTGTATCGTCCTCACCTGGGGGTGGATGGCTTTCCCAGAAGGACTCGGTCGAGATATTTTGTTGGCAGATCGAGAAATGAAATCGGCTAGAATGAAACCACATAGAGATCCTCGTGAAGAAGCCCATGGAGCTCAAATTACAAAATGAATCGCTGTTGATGGGGACAAATAACCGGGCTTCGCAAGATCCTCGCCGAAACGGCAGGGCAGCGTAGTGGATTGTCCGCGGCAACGAGGCTGCTATCAGTACACGAGATTATATACCCCTGAATTGTACCAATGTCTCGTATGTTATCCTGATGGTCAACCCATCATCATTGGCTAGGGTTGTTCGACTTTGCGGATTGCTGCAGCATAACAGTTGTTTTCTGCAGGTGGCCGATCAGATAGATTTGCTTTTTGAAGAGTCGAGGCGGGATTTTGGTGCAGACTCTGCCAAACCCAACTCCTGCAAATCCAACTCTATCAAACCCAGCTCTATCAAACCCAACTCTATCAAACCCCAACTCTGTCAAACCCAACTCTGCCAAACCCAACTCTGCCAAACCCAACTCCTGCAAATCCAACTCTGCCAAACCCAACTCCTGCAAATCCAACTCTATCATACCCAACTCTGTCAAACCAACCCTGCCAAACCCAACTCTGTCAAACCCAACTCTGCCAAACCCAACTCTGCCAAACCCAACTCTGTCAAACCCAACTCTGCCAAACCCAACTCCTGCAAATCCAACTCTATCAAACTCAACTCTATCAAACCCAACTCTATCATACCCAACTCTGTCAAACCCAACCCTGCCAAACCCAACTCTGCCAAACCCAACTCTGTCAAACCCAACTCTGCCAAACTCAACTCCTGCAAATCCAACTCTGTCAAACCCAACTACCCCATAACCCAACTCTGTCGGCGAAAAAAACAAGAGAAGAATCTTTCATCAATCTCTGACTTTAATCCAAACTAGAAATTCTTGTTACTGCAGGAAATTAAGCCAACTTCTAGGGACTTGAAACGGCAGAAATTGGGGAGAAATTGCTGTAGACCATCAGTTGCTTACTATTGCCTTCCAATGCCGTGGAAAGTCCTGTATATCAAGGCTACTGAAGTTCGGCTTCACACTCCCTGCAAAAGTAAGCTGCTACATTTGTCACTGCCAATGCAAACTGAAACGTGTCATTATGCAAATCAAAATTACAGCAAAAATCGGCATATACAGCAGAAACACTGCCACGTATGGCACGCATAATGGCGCCACGCATATCAAGCTGTACGGATCTCAAAATCTGGCTGAGAAGGCACGCCGCATGTCGACGAGGTGAGTATCACCTGACTTTAAAGTCACGGGACGCTTGGGCGGCATTCTCCGGATAAGCAACGACCAGCACTAGAAAGAGAAAACAAAGCAGTGCCAACCTAATGTAGTTGGTGTACGACTATACTCGAGCCTACAACCTCGTCGCCTCATTTTCGGCCTGAAGGTAGTGGTCAATCAAATACTGCCTAACAAAATCACCGGCTCTGCAACCCCCACCTCCTGCCCCACCTTAGAATTTGCGCAATTTGCAAACCTGGATAAACCACATCACCAACTGCCTTGAAACTATCATCAACGTACCATTTTAATTTTCATCCGATATCAAAGCAAGGCTTCCCCTCTTGCCCCCTCCCAACAACTACCCACGTTATCACGTTTACCAAGCCGCCTCACCACGCCAACTCATCTGACACAAAATCGGCGCAAACTCGACTCACCACCACCTAGCTGCGTTCCAGATAGTGCTGTTAAACACCATTCTCCTCCCGAGTAACGATTCCCCCACTATTATTTAAATAGTGGGCGTCGTATTCCTTGTATGCTGTATTATTACAGGCTGTTATGACAATAACGAAAGAATACTTGGTATGCCACCTTTGTGAGAGTCTGGTGTATATTACTGATCTTACTATGCTAGGTATCGCTGTGGGAACCCCTCTCTGCGGACGACGACCGGTTGCAAAATCTCATCAAATATGTACCGTTGGAGTTCATCGACCCCGCATCTTACGACCGAGAACTCCTTTGCCGAGATTGCGAAGAAGTCGTTTTCTTCTATGCGGGCAGTGAGATTTGGAATACAAAGGACAGTAATGGTCTGATGGAGCGCCGAAACGGTCTGATGGTGCTCCCAAAGGACATTTCAGTGACGGTCTATAAAGGTTATTTCTCCGTCAACTGAATAGATTCTGCGCTATAGTTGTGTCGCAGGCTATCCGAAGCTCCACATGACAAAACCTCTTCACCTTCACGCATTCCGTTGTATCCAAAAGTCCATTTTCTTTCTCCCATTTCCGTAAATCGCTTTCCTCAATAGCGTATGCGACTGTATCACCGAAGACTTTCTTAATCTGGGTTGTAAGAACGCCTGGTCCAGAGCCACACAGCAATGGATGTATCCCAATAGTTTCAATATCCAACCAGATGGCCGCATCGCCATCGCCGCGACCCCGTGGGAATCTTGATCGCACACAGTCTGTTATGTTTGGATCGTTTATACGCGGAGGGACGTGGCGAATAGCTGTTGCAACTTGTATCGGAAACACCTTTTCGATGTTTGTCCAAGGTGCCGCAGGAAACTCGAAGGCGCCAGGCTGTATAGCTGTTGTACGAGGTTTGGGAGCTGGCCAAGTGTCTGTTGTGATTGTTAGTGGGCTACTGTCCTTTTTATAGCTCGTTTGAGCTCTTACCGTCATCCATCTGATCATCTGGTTCTGCAGAGGCCGATGCCAGGGAAACGTGGTGTTCTTTGTGGATAGTTGTGTAATACTCATGAAATGGCTTCCCTTGAGATTCAGCGGACAAACGGTTCAGGCGCGTGGAAACCTCCGGACGATCGAGACATGACACCCCTACATTTTTCATATAGGTCCGAATATCTGACGCCTTCAAATGGCGAACCAAGTATCGGATGCGTCTCTCTTCGAAACTAATAGAGCAGAAAGCCAAACCGTCCCAGCTTAGCTTACGAAGCTCCAGAGCGAAGTCAGGCTTAAATGCATTATCGTTGACACAACGCATGAACACGTCGCACTTTGATAGAGTATTGGAGTCCAATGAGCGTGTCGCAGCAAGACGGGCCCTGGCGTGCTCGAGGCCTTCAACTATCTTGATCTGTTCACTGAGTATTGTCAATTCTTTTTTTACCTCGTTCAAACATTCCGGATGATTGTAGAGATCAAAATCGTAAATCCCCATTTTGGGCGACTTGAGTTTGGTAAAATTGGGTCTGGAGGAGTTGGGTTTGGCAAATTTGGGTTTGGGAGTTAGGAGCTGTATGCTCGACGATGTGATTGACTGACTCAGATCCAGGTCTAGCTCTTTGACATTCTTTTTGTCCACAGGGGGCAGCCAGAGACTGTAAAATCTCTGGGGGAATTGGGTTTGGATGGGTTGAGGGTGTTGGGTTTGGGAGAGTTGGGTTTGGAAGAGTTGGGTTTGGGAGAGTTGGGTTTGGGAGAGTTGGGTTTGGGAGAGTTGGGTTTGGGAGAGTTGGGTTTGGCAGAGTGACAAGGGGCTACCTAGCCATTACAAAGCATGGCCCGTGCGCGTAGTGCGATGAATCATTGGCCATATCTACGCAGGGTCTAGATGATACGAATGCTCCTAGGATAGATCTCAATCCACAGAAGATAGCATTATATTTTGTCTGATTGGCTGGCTAGTGCTAACTGCCCACTTTGGGGGCGCGGGGAGGGGTGAGTAAATATAATAATAAAGCCAGATGATTATGAATTTGGGACGTGCCAACTGTTCCAAGGCGCTTACACGTGTGATTGGCTTTACCCTACCTAACTTATGTTTTTGATGGCCTGAGCGAAACGAGCCATTACTGCAGGGTTGTTACAGTGACCATTCGCCTACTTCATGCAGTGAAGGGGCATTAGGGCCATACAACTCTGCTGGAGGAATCCGATGCAATGATTGACCACAAGTAAGTGCTGTAGTGCCACGTTAATGCACGAGTAGTTACATTGGCTTGTCGCCTCCTTAGTTCTCAGCCTCTTTTTAGTGCCAAGAAGCAACAGGCGCCGCGGAAGATTATTCTTACTGGCTGGTCTCGATTTGGGTCTGTTCTGACATCGTTGTAGCTTATTGAGAGAGGACCACGATTGACTAGACGGTAACATTTAGAGTTAGTCCATCTCGTTCATATTAAATTTCATCGGATTTTGCCATATAAGGCACGTCTTCCCTCTCTTTCCAATGCTACCAAATCATACCGCAACTGCTACATTCAAAACAACATAGCATCATGAATCTTTCAGAGAAATATGATCCGACTGCTTTCCACAGCATCTTATCTCTTCATGATGCCAACAAGTATTTTCGAGACAACAATGGCTTTTCTTTTGTGGAAACGAAGTTGAAGTCTCTTATACTGCAGCACGGTGTGACCAAGCTCTTTGGAGTCTCACTTGTCCATCGCCATTTCGACCTTGAAGATGGAACCATCCTCGTGGAAAAGGATATGGTCACAGCCCCTTGGAAATGTGACAGTTCTTTCGCGAAGCACGGTGGGAGGATCCTCCCAATTTCTTGGTTCTGTAAGGGGGGCAGACCTTACCCTTATGAGTTCGGATTTTTCCCATATTCTAAGGCCCCACCTCCAAAGCTCGAAGAACATGCGTCTTTTGTTGAAGCATTTTTCGATGCTGTCAAACTTTACGGGCTGGACAATGCTATCGGTCTCCGCCGTCTGTCTGGGCAGGAATCCACAGGAATGCTGGAGTGCACCGAGGGCAAAGTGAATATCATGTTTCCAAGCAATGAGGTTCGTTCATTGGTATCTACCATGGTATATTATGAGTCTCATTAAAATAGATACCCGTCGAGCTTCTTCAAAATGGGACTGATACCATGTGGTTTTTTGATGGTCAACCGCCGTACCGCATGTATCGATGTGCTTGTACGAACACAGGCAGTTCGTCGAACCCGAACCACAATCATATTGACCAGGCTTGAAGGGTGCTAAGAGATACAGCTCTACTGGTAAGTGGAATCCTTTGAACATGGGTATCTTCAATACTCATTGTGAACTAGGTCGCATGTTTCTTGTCCCAAACAAATGCGCTAGGATTATTGGGCTGTCTGTCCTGACATTTCACTTCTTGTTTTTCTTTCGGTCAATTACTGTGGCTGGCACATCCGGTCCTTTTGTCTTCTGTCATTACCGCTGATTCTTCTGCTCGAAATAAGTTTGTCAATCGTCCAAATAAAGGAATAAAATGCGCCACAGTAAATAGTAGGTTTTATATGTTCTCGGAGCTAGGGTAGAATCTAGAAAGGAACCCAGAGCAACTTTTCAGAGGAGAGGATCCATTTTTCTCTTTAGTTATAAACAGTAAGTCCAAGGCCAACAGCGCGTTATCACCGGAATATCATTAAGCGTTCGGGGAATGATTGAGCTAGCCGTGCCCAGCCAACCAACCCACTCACCGCCACTCACCGCGAGGTTGGTGGAGCTTGGCACGGCTACTCCATCCACCGCGTTTAATACATAAGCAACATTAGGGGACCCCTTCCACTTTCGCACTCACGCCTCAATCTTCCACCCCCCTCTCTCCCGTTGTTTAACTATTGAATACAACAGACACCAAAGAGCTCCAACATGACGGGCTCACTTGATGTGCTCTCCGAGGCTAGCCGCCTTCGCCACGGAATCCCTTGTTCTTTTGCCGACGATAATCCTTACGTTGGCGGCTCACATCGCGTATTCAAAGTTGTCTTTGAAGACTCCGTGCGGTGGGCTGCCCGAATTAACCAAGATCCCAACAATTGGGAAACTGAACTGCGTGCCGTCCGACGATTTCAACACGTCAAAAAGCAATGCGTGGAGATCAAAGCGCCCAACCTTTATGTCGCGGCAGAACACCCTGTGCTATATTCGGAATGGGTCAGTGGCAATCCATTGGCAATATGGAACTCGAAAATTCCTTTGCTTAAGCGGCACAGCCTCTTGGATGATCTTGCAGAGTTTCTGTTGCAATTATGGACTACTGCTGTTCCTTCCGCCCTTGCTCCAGAGCAAAATTGTCTGTACTCTGTGTGGCTCACGCAAAGCCTGGACCGAGGTCTTCGGCGAACTCTAACTGGCACTGCTAAATGGGGCAATGCTACTGACTATCTAATCATGAGGTCCATGGTCCCAAAATACGCCGCTGAATTTGATAAATACATTGGCGTCGGATTTACACATGGGGATCTGAATGCACACAATGTCATGATAAATGACGACTTCAACTTGACAGGGTAAGCACAAAGCGTTAATTTCATATAGTTTCCACAATATCGATCTAACATATGAAATCATTACAGGGTCATCGACTGGGATTGGATGTCTGTGGCACCGCTACCTGCCATCATAAACCACCCTTGGTTTATAGCCGATATTCCTGGATGGAATAATGATGGTGTGGCAAACGGTGAAAGCTTCAAAGAGGACCGTACTTATCTTGAGAATGCCATCAAGAAGAAAGAGCTTTCGCGGCACCTGCCACTTACAGTATCAACATTGCTGAGTGACTCTGGAACGAGACTGTTTTTCCAATCAGCCTTCCATTTTAGAGATATCCATGAGAAGTTTGTCAAGATGCATTGTCCACGGACAGAAAAAAACATCAAGTCTGCAAGGTCACAGTTAGATACTGTACTCCGTTTATACCCTGAGTTGGGAGATAGTGAGGATGTACAGAAACTCAAGGATCTACTGGGGAGAAAAGACGAATATTAGTGTCAATAATGAAGGAATACCATCTTTCGGATCCACTCTGCATGGATTTCAGCCTAGGCGTTATCGGCGCGATCTATGAGTATCACCCCGGGACTATGCGGTGCATTTCGCTAGGGGTTTGGCTCATCTCGGCACATGCAAGTAATGATAAAAACTGATTACTATATAGAGAAACGGTGTGAGTTAGGAATTCAATCCTCTTTCCCTGGTGTTCGGTGTTGAAGAAAGTCTGCTTATGTTAATTCAAAACTAAATTAAATTCCATACCGGCCTGCCACGAGTTATCATACTATCGTGTATCCATTGATCTTGCACATCTCGTTGCCACAAACGTCGTGTTCCCCCTCTATCAGAAGATTTGACTCAAGAAGGACCCGAAAAGCCAAGTCACGTGAGCGAATTGGAATTGCTCACGTGGTGAGAGCACCCGCCAACATTGAATCGCGTGTGCCCCTCCAAGATATGCATTCGCACGCGCTGGCTTTTTCGGCAACTCCAAAAGTCCTGCCAGAACCATACTGCAATTCCACCCTGAGAGTATCCATCAACTTCTTGCGTATCATCATTTTGCTCCCGCTTTGTAAAGAGGAGTAAAGAGGAGTAACGAGGAGCAACGAGATACAATAAAACTAGAAAGCAAGCGCCAGTTTTGGGCAACGGCGAGCGATCGGAAAGGCGCTCCTAGATCTGCTCAGACCACTGTCTTTTGTTGGTCTTGCTTCGCTCATAATACACGAAATCTCGGTTGGCCGAGCCTCAACGGGTGACTTTGTTTTCTTTATCCAGTATTGGTCGTCACTTATCTCTCCATTGGCCTATCTCTCCGCGCAGTATCGCTGGCTCGTATCATATTTAGTGGATGCCGAACGTCTACTGTACCTTTTTAATTCCAAGCCCAGTATCACCGAGAATGATAATGCCACGATCCTCAACTCCGGCGACGGCCGTGTCGTCTTTGAAAATGTCAACTTTGCCTACGACACCCGACTGCCAATCCTCAAAGACGTGGATAATGTCATCGAGCAGGGACAACAGTCGCACTCATTGTGAAGGGCGGGCTCCGGAAAGACAACAATCCTCAGGCTCCTTCTCCGACTCTACGATGTGACCTCTGGCCGGATCAAATCGACGGCCAAGACATTCGAGACATAACCCTTAGCTCGTTGCAAGAGGCCATCGGCGTCGTCCCGCAAGACCCCGTCCTGTTCAACGCTTCCATACTTGAGAATCTGCTGTACGCTCGACCATCAGCTACAGATGAGGAGATCCAAGAAGCATGTCGCGCTGCAGCTATCCACGAGAGGATCGTGACTTTTGTAGATGGGTACAACACTACGGTTGGAGAAAACGGTGTCAAGCTATCTGGTGGAGAATTGCAGCGAATAGCCATTGCTCGAGTCTTCTTGAAGAAGTCACCAGTTCTTCTCTTGGATGAGGCTACTAGTGCTGTGGATTCGGAGACCGAGTCTGAGATTCAGGCTGCTCTTGACCGCTTGAGAGCAAGACGAACTACCTTTGTTATTGCCCATCGTCTTTCGACTGTTGTTGGCGCGGATATGATTCTTGTTTTACACGAGGGAGAGAGTGGAAAGTGGTTCACACAAGGGGCTGGTGAATAAGGGTGGAAGATATCAGACTCTTTGGGAAAATCAGATTGGTGGTGGTAAAATCAATAAAGCACTATAGGCAAGAGAAAAGAAATTGAGGGCAAATTCATGGAACGTGTATCTACACTTGGCTGAAAATGGCTAATGACAATTGGCATATTCTTCAGATGGGATCCATAGATACCAAGGAAAAAGGGGATGTAGCAGGCTACAACTGTTTGCTTGAGAGCAAGCAACGTGTGACACGGCGTTGGCTCCTCTCTGTCCAGCTCTCGCCATTAGAACTTGACCTGTACTTTCTTAACCAGATAGCGGAAAGTCGGTCAATACACAAGTCGTATTTGGACCTGGGACCGAGCAAATAAAGGGGCAGAAGCATCTCGCAACATTAGTACGGGTCGGTCTGGCGCTAAGGCAGAAGAATCACTCGCAACCTGCAATGGATCTGCATCAATGAGGCGTCTGCCTGAATCCCCAAGGCAAAGTCAAAATACCTAAACCCTGCCCAGACGAGGCCAGCCGAACGCCGCCTATAGAAAGCTCCACTTGGGCATACCGTGTGACCAGGCTGTGTTTGTAGTGCGGGCCCCAAACCCGTCGTAAATAGCCCTGTAGCTACCACCATCCAGGCAGTGACAGGTCCAAGCAAGCTCAAGTTGGAAAGCAAAACTGAGTTTGCTGATATGAAATAATTGGAGAATCCTGAAAGGTTCCTCGGCAATATCATAGCCAGGTGTACCGATATCTATGCAAAGGTCTGAAATTAGTACAATGTCCTCCGGAATGTCTCGTAAGTACGTTACCGATCCTTAGAGTATCCAATTGGCATGGCCACTAAAACCACCTTGTCACACGTAAGAACTAGTTAATGTAGATGGTGGGCTAGGCGAATTATCAAAACTCAATCTAATTGGGCGTTTGCAATGGGTTAGGATACGGGCTTGAGTCCAGATGTCGATTCCTAGGAAAAGCATCCCGGTCAACGGTGGAAATTCTACTCCATTATCTCGCTTGTGACCCAAATGACTAGGGTGAACAGGTATCCTCCCGCGGCGGACTCAATCGTTGCCTAGACGCATTTCTGACACCCGGGCGAAGGTGGCGCATCCACGGGAACTATTCACCTACAGCAGCGGTATATAACCTGCTTCCGGTCTCAGCGAGTTCTAAGTTACAGTATTTATAAAGGGTTTCGCTCAATCACTCTCCCAGTCCAACCAAATGTCAGCCAATTCGGATGATCTCGAATCATGCCGCAGTCAAGAAACACGCTCCACTGCTTCCGCCCCCTACGAGCCACCGCAAACTTCCCCCAGCAAAGCTATCTTTCTCCATCAAGCGGACCCGTTTTTGAAGCATACAAATTCTACAGAGCAGGAAAAGAGGCAACCTGGGCATGCGCAGAGCGAACCGAGCTATACATGAAACAAGAACAGCTCTGCAACCTGACTCATTCGCGTGCAGAAGAATTTGAGGTTGAATGGCAGTACCAAAAACTGAGCCCCAACCAGCGTGCTCAAGTCGACCGGCTCGTCCAAGACCGCCGAGCAGAATATCCCGGGATGGTATGGAGCTACGTCTATGCTAAAGAAAATTCTTATGCAAAAGTGACTCGTAACCCTCGTCCAGATGATTCCGAAACAACTTCCATGGTGATTATCCTTATGAGGAGACCCATGAAACCAACAAAGTACCCTATAACGCACATGGGAGATTATGTGGACATCAGAAAGCTTCGTGACCGCCATGATGATTCGATGAATCATTCCAGATCCCCCAGTGTAACACCCCAGTGGAGGCATCGGGGAATAGGCCCGGCTGGATATTATGGATCCCAAGGGCCGCATTCTGCCTCAAGGTCTGTGGGACGGTACCCGAGCCAGGGATCGGATTCCGGACGGGTGGTGGCATCGGTGTGCTCGACTGGGCTTGACTCGGGTCTGCTACCGGTATATGACCAGTAAGTTGTTCCTTATACCCTCTTTTTTCAATTGCCGTATTTGCTCGCCAGGAGTGGCCGAATTTTGGACTACCCACAACTAGCTCTTTTTTAAATGCTAATTTTGCGGTTTCCAGTGGACATTTTAGCAGGGACGGGGTATTGTCATCTGGCAGCCACCACGATCCACCGTTTGCTCAGCCTGGCGGTGCATTACCTGTGACTGGCAGTTTTAAAGTGCCACCACAGCTTCCTGGGCAACACCAGCAGTCGTCCACCAGCCAGAGCTCTCGCCGTCCAGACTCACCGCACTATCCACCCGGCTCAAATGGACTAAGCCAGAAGAGAACGCGGTTCGGAAATCCTGACTTTGAGTTTACTTCCGCAACGTCCGGGCAAAACGGAGCATTTCAAGCACCAACTCCGAAGAGGATCTGCCGGTTGCGTGGGATCTATCAAGGCCATGGCGTTCAAAGTCAGGAGACGAAGTATCGTACTTCCTGAGCAGCACGATCCTAAGTACCACCCTGGACAATTCAACTTTGGCTCTGTGAAAGGAAGCCGACTTGAGTCTCACAGTGTTAGTTGGATTTCTTTTTCTTTAAACTAGGGTAGTTGGAATAGCTGGGCGATGATCGGAATAGGTATTATGTTGGGGAACTATATATAATAGGGGGCAGAAACAATTTCATGTACAGCATTCGAAAAGTAAGATGCTTACAATGGTCACGCATTGATACTATACTTCCAGTCCTCGTACAAGCTCTCTCTTCCTGAATTGCACGATAGCTTCATGGAATAATGCAACTTATAAGGCAAGTATTGAGAGTTTTTCCCGCATTCACACCCACAAGGCTATTGTGTCCCTCGAGAGGTGTCCAATAAACCCTCCGCATTTAGTAGATGACTCATTTCTGGGTTGCCGCAAAATTTCTGACGACAATAGGAAATGAGCCAATCCAAACTCTACCTGTCACCTTCCTCTACACGGCCTCTGATTAATTTCCTAAAAAAGCGTGCGTACAACGCGAACAGGGGTAAAACTTCGATTCCCAAGCTATGAGAAATTATTCTTGCCATTGGCCCTCGACAAACACCGACCTCAATTGATCTGGGAAATTGCTACCACGGTACAACTTTGGCCCTGTGCAATAAATTCTGTGCAAGCGAGTATGTGAGCAAGGAATTAGTTCAAATATCAGACGGTCTTGCACTTTGGCGGGTTCGTTAGCTTATTGTTCGATAGATCGATCTCACGATTCATGAGACGGATTGCTAATCACTACGATCTCTCAAGTTTCATTCCTAGTAGTATATTCTGGCGGCTGTGGGACGTACCGTACCGAAACCTCGAGGCTTGAGCATCATAGACCCAATTCCATTGAAGAGCTACTAATAATCAATCATTCCCACCCCCAGCCAGCCCACCCCCGTTCCCCCTTTTAATGCGAAGATAGGCCATGGATATTCAACGCAGTGTATATCGAGCCACGCCGGATATTGAGGGGAGACAAATCTACAAATGTGCGGACCGGGATCTAAACCGCCAAACCAAGTGCATACTGTCTGCGGGTTGGAGATCCTTGGAGGCTCTGTTTAAAAGGAAACGGTCGCAGCTGCGAGCTAATACTTATGAGGAAGCTAGAATCAATTCATTTGAGCTCTTCAAGATTCGGCTGTGTACATTTCCTTTTGTTTAAGAAGCGCTTTGCCTTCTCCGTGAGGGGTCATTTTCAAACGAGCAGCTTCCTGTTCTTATATTATTAGAAAAAAGTTCAGAGACTGTCCAGTTGTTCGATATAAAACTTACCATCACAGTTTTCAACCCAATGCCAAGACACCATCAAGGTGGTACCATGTTCGATATTCTTACCGATCATTTTCAGAGGCTGGTTAATGCGACCACCCGCGATTATGCCGCGGATTGAACCCAACTGCTCGATATTCGAGATATGGAATCGGTCGACGTTCTTGGAGGCTTCTTCTCGGGTATAGCAAAGCGCCCGCATGAGCCAGGGGACTCGTAGATCATTGGGTGTTCTTGACAAAGCGTATGGCCCTTTCATCTGATTCATTGGAATGGCATAGTCTTTGAAGATCAGAGATACTTCTGGAGATGAGTTCCGACGAGATGACACTCTGGCCATACTGACAGAAAAGACACAAACGAGGCCTGCAAAAATGAGATGCTTGGCAATTTTTGATTAGGCATTAAAGGTGACGGACGTGATTCGGAGAAAGAAGCAGGTGAAACACTTTAAGAACTGTTTCCTCGTTCTTTGATCTCCAAAGACCATGTGTTTGGCCTATCACGCAAATTTGGAGTTGGATGGCCCGTCCTGGACCTGCTCGGGGTCATGGGTCTGATCGGTTTGGAGCCGTTGTATTGGTCGGGACGCAGGTTGGATGCACTGGTCGAGATATTGAGCCCCATACAGCCAGGCTTTCTGCCCTGGCGCGCCATTTTCCTCGCACTGGTCTGGAATTTTGGTCACATGCGCTGCAACAAAGTTGACTGGTCTGCCCGTGGGCCACAGAGAGTCTCAGTGGCAAGTTGTCCCGCACAATTTCCGCGCGTACCTCAAGTCTAGTGCAGCCACCATGCGGTGAGAGTAGCTCGTTTTGACCAGGAAACAATTAGATCTACAGTGACTAAGAGTCGCCTTCCTACTGATTGGAAAGCTAGTGCCTTCAGTTCACCAAATTTGGCTAGGTCCTCACGGACGAAATCTCAACAGCCCCATTTGCTGTTTCTTACAGTCCGGGATTAAGGACGCTCGTTCCTCTCTTGTGGAACCATAACCACCCTGAGGTGGATGGTCAGATGCCCAATAAAGGTGCTAATATTATCTTTAACCCGTAATGTGACATATAAGCCCCTAAATGCCTAGCGGTCATTCACAGTTGCGCCCAATGTCCGAGGATCAGAATCTTAGCTGTGCTGTATACCGACTCGAAGGATGCGAACGGATCCACATTGAGCCGGATCTCTCTGTTTGTCCCCAAGCCTGGATGTGATCCAACCCGCAGTAGCAGTGATAACAACGCCGATAGCTAGAGCTACTAGTCACTAATATGCCGCTGCCTATTCAATCACCAAGCCTAATTGAAGTGAGCCGTGCACTCACACAAAATCGCACAGTACTTGAAAAGAGATTTTCTTTCGGGAGAAGAATATGCTTCTCATTATTTTTTGGCTCACTTGCTGAAATTCATCTTGTTGTTTTCAAACCAGGTCGTGGTTTGCCAAACACTTTCCAGTTTGGAGTGTACAGAGGCAGCTGAAAGGCTGAAATCGAAAGGTAAGCACAGCATTATATTCTCTTTTCGAATATCACATTGAAATCATGGTGCCCGAAACTGAGAGCGAGCACTGGAACGATGTGTTAAGAAAGCCGGCCGTGACAACAGACAACGCGGAAGACCACAGACTGATTGTCGAGGATATCATATCCAGGCATGGTATAGATGATTCTTTGAGTCTGTTCGCCATGGACCGTCTTGCAATGGTGTACTGGTATGAGGGTATGCGACACGACGCTATCGAGATTCAACGAAAAGCTCTCGACTGTCGCGAAGAGGTAGATGGGCCTGAGGACACTTTCAACCTTTTCTCCATGGATGCCTTAGGCTTCATGTACTTTGAAGAAGGTCAATTCGAACAGGCTGAGAAGGTCCTCCTTCAAAGTATGGAGTTACGAGAACAAGCTGGTCATTGTAACGCTTCTAGGACGTTCAAGGCCAAAATGCTACTTCAGAAGACATATGAAAAACAAGGCAAGACAAAGGATGCTCTGAAAACCTTGTGGGAACTCTTGGAGACTCTGTCAAATGCAACGGGTATGGAAGGAGAGAGAGAGGACGCTCTGGGAAATCTTTACGTACTTTTGGGGTCGCTTTCCAGAGCAACTGGTGCGCAGTTTACACTTTGATTAGCAAACACGTCTCTGTTATTTTGTATAGGCTCCGTTCCATTTCGGGATCCGGAAGGAGACCGAATAGCGGGATCAATGTCCCCATAGTTCATGGTCCATGTATTGTTTCCGCACAACTCATCAAAGGTTGCTCTAGCTTTTATTTCTCTCCCATCACTACTTTGTTCCATACTTCATTTGTCGGAACGAAAAATTTCTGTCCCTAGTGATTTTGAGCATTTATGAAGAGGTTTGCCAGCTCTGGAAAAAGGTTACATGAGGTACACTGCGAATAAACGCACTCGGGATTCCAGAGATCAATAACTGAAAAGCAACCAGGTTGCGAGTCATTGCCTGGTTGCTTTTCAGTTATTGATCGGTCGTGAAAACCCCCACCCCCCGAGATTTTGGCCTATAATAAAATGGTCAAAACCGTGCACGATGACCACCATCGCATGCTTTGCCACTTCAATTTTGTTCATGATTAGTATCCTCCAGAGGCAAATACATGACGGGTATTTAAAGCGACATCTAATCGGCGGATGACGAGTGGGGATCTTAAGTGGATCCATTCCTGAGCTCGATTCCACGTATCTTTTACACAGGCTGTCTAGGGTAATCATTGACCGGGCAATAGGATCAAAAGAAAAAGGTGGGGGAAGTCTTTTTTGGGGCCGAAGAATAAACATCCAGTTAGACCCTGCCGTGTTGACTGCCAGTTGCAGGTAATAGGAAGACGAAAAGGGGAAAACACAAGGTGGCCATTTCATACTTGAAAGGGAACGGAAACGCTTCGCCATTTTTTCATCAAGAAGGCGAGCCTCCGAATTGGCGATGTGGACATGCAGGTCGTCAGAAAAATGTGGAAGAGGTGAGTTTGGTTCCGTTCCTCACGAATACTGGATTGCACAATATAGAGGCAGAGACTGTGTCCCATATTCATATAATCAGAAGTTTCGTGTCCCTTGAAAGGTGTTCTAGTAAATCCTCCGCATTTAGTAGATGACTCATTTCTGAGTTGCCGAAAAACTTCTGACGACAATAGGAAATGAGCCAATCCAAGTTCTTCTTGTCACCTTCTTCTATGCGGCCTCTGATTAAATTCCAAAATAGAGTGCGTACAGTGGGAACACGGGAAAAAACATTGATTCCCGAGCTATGAGAAATCATTCTTGCCAGTGGCCCTCGACAAAAAGCAAACACCGACCTCCATTGATCTGGGCAATTCTCACTAGGGTACAATTTTGGCCCTCTGACAATAATTCTGTGCAGGTAAGTATGTGAGCAAGGAACTAGTTCAATTATCAGACAGTCTTACACTTTGACGGGTTCGTTGTCCGGCACTATTCCACAACTGTTCCATATCAAGTCAGAAAGCTAGTTGGTAATATTGGAGGTGGTTCACCGTACCCTGTTGTGCTAGCTAGTAGTAAAATAGAGCCCGATCTGAGACTCGTGGAGATTGTATGGGATAGAATTGAACCAGCGTTGTGAATTGTCAGGCATCGTTCAACCCTGTCTATGTCAGTATCGAGCAGGCGTTGAAATCGCTGCTGAGCTTACGCCTTGCCACCATTTGCGAAGAACAAGTATATCACAGGGTCGGTAGTGTTCAAGTTTTTATCATCAAGGTTGATGCAAGCTCCAGCAATTGGCTGTAACAGGGTCTTTTCCCCGGACTGCAACAAGGAAGAGTTCATCATTGGCCCATAATCATGTAAAGGTGAGCTCGAAAAGTTCTTGCCCAGAGTCCCTTTCGTAGTTTATATCACTTGTTGCATCAACCAGCGGGACAAGCAAAAGCAAGCAAAATCAAGATGATAATGGCTTTTAGCTATACAAGGTCCGAGGTCCAGCCAATGAGCTTTCGCGGGGTCTACAAACGCCCTTGTGCTCTCAATGCGCTCGATAAGCTTCAACGCACACCGTTAGTAACTTGAAGATCACCGTGCTCGAAAATACCAGATGCCGATCTCCTAAATATTATCGCTAGCTGCAGTAAGTTCTTTTAGACAGTAAAATCTGAAAAGTCCGTGGAGTGGCGCTGCGTCCTGCATGTCGCGATCCTCATGATACCCGTATGGGTAGTATTATACGCTAAAAGTGGCGATTCTATCTCCTTGCTTTCCTCTTGTGAAGCGTGTAAAAGCAGGTTAACTGGGTTGGAGTATCATGCAAAAACGGTGTCCAATCGCCGTCGATCAACACGTCTTCGCATTACAGGAAGATACCGTTATACGTTTACCGATGATGATACTGACAAGTGACTGGTATCATGTAGAAGAGCGCTTCCCGCATATTTGTCATTGTAAAACCAAACCTTGCATTGCTACAGTGATTCGCTCCAATTGGTTGCTTGAATCAGACGTACATGGCATGGTACGATATGGGGTTAGCTCCTTTCGTCCAACAAAAAAATCGATTTGTATGTTTTCGTTCTCAGCTGCGATTTTCACTCGCTACATTACAAAGGTTGATGCATGCTCCGGCAATCGGCTGGGGCGAAGCCTCCGCCCTGGACTGCAACAGGGGATCTAAAGTTGGCCCACAATTAGGTAAAGTTAGCTGGGAAAGTTGATTTTGTGCTTTCGCTATATTTCACTTGTTGCATCAACGGGCCGGACAAGAAAAAGCAAAAAAAGGAATGGCGATAATAATGGCCTTTAGCCATACAACATCCGAGGGCCAAAGGGCTTTCGCGGGGTATGTAAGCGCCGATAAGCATCAACGCACATCGCAAGTTAGTGACTTGGCCATCACTTACAGTGATCTGAATTGGCAAAGACCGTTCTGCGAAGTACCATCACGAACCTCCGGTATATTGTCTCAGGTCGTAAAAGTCGCGATCTCCATGGTACCCCTGTTGGTGGTGCTGCACGCTAAATGTCGCGATCTCCATGGTACCCCTGTCGGTAGTGCTGTACACTAAAAGTCGCGATCTCCATGGTACCCCTGTCGGTAGTGCTGTACACTAAAAGTCGCGATCTCCATGGTACCCCTGTCGGTAGTGCTGTACGCTAAATGTCGCGATCTCCATGGTACCCCTGTCGGTAGTGCTGTACACTAAATGTCGCGATCTCCATAGTACCCTTGTCGGTAGTGCTGCACGCTAAATGTGTGTGACGTTGGAGGGTTCGACAAGGATGCAAGGATACAAGGATCCGAGGCAACTCGCGATTTTGAGCTCCCGAAGATGACAGATATAAGAATGAACTGTCCCATCCGAAAGTAATGGGTTTTAATCGGTGTGTAATCTAGACATCATCTTCTTACTGTGGTCTGATTTATCGAAAGGTTCCTGCAACAAACTCAAAATTCCCTATCTCACAAGACGCAACGATGACGGCTACACTTTACAACAACCTGCCGACTCTCGATGACGCGGAAAAACGCTTCATTGACCGTGAACCAGTCTTCACTGCCGTTGGAAGCCTCCTTGCTCAATACGGCAACCTTTACGGCCTCTGTCTCGTCCACGCACACTGCACCTTAACTGACAAGGAGACAATGCTCAGCAGAGGAAACATATCCCAGCCGGAAATTCTCACTCTGCTCGACAATTACTATCCTGAGCGCTGGCTGGCTTCGGGAGTGCCTTACGAGTTTACTACTCGGCCCACCGTGCCACCGCCGGCTGCTCTTGTTGACGAGTTCAACCGGCTTACTGCTGATATTGGGGTTCTGGGCCTCTACCACATTGGTGACGAAATCAACGGCAAGAAGATTGAATATACCGAGGGACGCAAAAATATCCTGTTGCCCTTTTCTGATACAGACGTGTCACAAGCAGCAAATTACACGGAGACAGCGTGGAATTTGGGTAAGGGAGATCCTGTCACCATGGCTTGCATGATTGTGTGCGACTCACGAAACACCAGAGATGGATCAGTACACAAAGGTATGTATCAATGTATCAATAGTTTTCTTTGCTTTAGTCCCGTAAGCTGACTGAGATATAAACTAAGGAACGAAGTCCCATGTCAAATAGTGAACTGTACACATTGGGACCGTCTTGTCGGGCAAAGTAGCATCGATCTAGGGAATAGGCCTTGACTGATCATTCGGATCTTCTGAACTTTTGTACAAGGCATCATTTGTGATAGTCATTAGTTAAATGTTCGCTGGCTTTTCACGGACTGCGCACGTAGCTCTCTTATTTCTTTTTCGGTTCGTTGAATTACTTTTAGGGCAAGCCAAAACTTGTAGACCTAGAAGTCGGAGCTCTCTTTGGTACCAAAGCAAGTATTACCATATTCAAACAATTTAAATTGCCCACTAACTGTTCCGCACTACATGAGCATGATTCATATATTGTTAAGTAGCAACCTTGATATTATCAACCATAGCGTAAACATCATCCAAACTGGGGCGTTCTTCGGGTTTATTGCAAGTACAAGCTTCCACAACAGCAGTTAAAGGAGGGGGAACAAGCCATTCCACCGCCATCGTTATCGGGACATTTCCATATATCATGCCTTTTATAAGATAGCCGAGATCATAGATGTCCGATTTCTCAGTCCAGCCAGCGTCCAACACCGGCTCGCGAGAAATCTCCGGAGCCAGTCGATTTCCCCAACGGCTCTCCAGATCGCAGATAAGCACGCGAGATGTATCAGAGGAGAAGACAATGTTGTCTATGCGGAGATCACGATGAACAATCCCAAGGGAATGAAGCCACTTCATCCCGGAAACTATCTGCAAAATCCAGTTTTTGTAGACAGAAAGCGGATAAATGTACCCTAAGACGTATCGGGGCTTGTATTTGTCAAAAACCAACCACCCCTCTGGTGACTTTCCCAGTAGTTGAATGATGTGAGAAGATTTTGGCACTCCCGGGCAGGATCCACCCTGGCATTTGAGCAAATTGTCAATCTCGCTTTTATATTTGCCTTTCTTGACAAAATGTCTGCTGGAATCGACTTCGACTACTGGCAGCGAGGCAAGGGTTGTATCAAGATCCTCAGAATCATCGTCTAGCTCTGGAAGTGGTGGCACATCCTCGAGGAGGCGTATTTCGTCACCGATGATCTCGTAATTACCGTCGTTGACTGAGTCGGGGAGATTTTGGTGTAGGCGGAGGATATTCCCAGAAAAGGTGCCAGGAATATCAGCCAGCCGGATGCACTGGCGCTCATACCAATAAGTGTAGCAGAACACACCGTCAACCAAGTCCAAACTGAGATCGATTATCCGTCGGCCACCCGCAGGACCCAAGCTAGACCGCGCTTTTTTCCCCTCGTAATCAGCTCTCAGCCGCTCAATTTCCTGTGTAAATGGGTCGCCAGGTAATTGATTCATCGCTTTTGATTCAGGGGTCTGATGGTGTAATTTTGAGGTACTCTTTGCACGATAAACCCTTTTGCGGCAGCGACAGAAACAGAACAGAAATCAAAGGTTAGCATCCAGCTCCAAGTTTATATACAAAGGAAGTCCACCAAAGGCAAATTGCAGGGTGGGGTTTTGACGCTTGCACCTGTACCGCTACCTAATACATGCACCTACTAGGATAGGTACATACAGTATCTTGTATCATTTGATACGGGAAAACTCAATTTCATGTAGCAGGGCTGCATTGATTGGTAAGGCCTTTTAGCGTGCTGCGCTATCGACAGGGATATGTCGAAAAGTGCGACTTTTAGCGTCGGCCATCCACATGTATTCTTTCGAAGGAATGCCACTTGACAAATGCCAGACTTGTCAGTCAAGTTTTCCCTCTGTTCCTTTTGAGCTGGTAATAATATCTTAGCGGTGAGTTGAGAAATAATGAGTACGTGCAAAGAAGTATTGTGGAGGGTCTCGTTTTGTAGGATCGAAGAATGTTTAGGTGACTTGGGGCCGGATGAGGGGCGGGAGCTCGTGACTCGAGCGGAGAAGAGGGGTACGAGTGGGGTCAGTCTCTCACAATATAAGTAGCCATTCCTGAACGTTCGAGAAAAGCAAGCTCATAAGAAGTTTTTGTTTCTAACCATGGAAGCCACACTACTGCCTTTCCTGCATGCAATAGAGCCGCTCAAGCATATGCCACGAACAGGATGGCTGAGAACGATTCAGAACCCTGAGAGTGTCGCGGCGCATAGCTTTCGAGTAGCAATCTTGGCCATGCTCGCTCCGGTATTTGTATTCCGCCGTCTCGCTGTCAGCAGCTGACCCTTTCAGGAACATTTGGACTTGGATAGGGCGAAATGCATACAAATGGCTTTGATCCATGATTTGGCAGAGTCGGTCATAGGGGATATTCCGACATTTGCAAAGGTTCCAAAACGTGAGTCTTCTCATATCGGTATGTCTTAACGGAGCTCACAATTACAAGAACGGAAATACGAAATGGAACGCAATGGGTTCCAATATTTAGAAAACTTGCTCCGAACCTACAATTCAAAAAAAGCCGAAGAAATCAGTGAGCTGTGGCTGGAATATGAAAAAGGCGATACACCCGAAGCACAATGGGTCCGGGAGATGGACAAGTTTGAGTGTCTAGTCCAGGCACACGAATACGAGCAGAGGACATTCGGGGAAAAAGACCTCAACGAGTTTCAAGGGCTTTCAGCGAAGATTCATTCTGACGAAGCACGCGAGTGGGCGAAATTCTTATCCCGGGAAAGGGAAGATCACCTTGCCAAGCGAGAAAAGCCACTGCCCATTATTTTCATCACTGGTATGTGATATCTGTGATATGTTGAACATTTGTTTTTTTCTCGCTAAAGACTACTAGGTGACCCAATGGCTTGCGAAATGGTCGCTAGCTACGTTTCAGAAAAGCTTTCTCTTTCCCATATCTCCGTGAACAAGATGCTTACGGAAAAGGCGCAAGATCCCGAATATCGCCATCACGGAATCCTTGAGAGATGTCTGGAAAGGAGATTTGAAGTGCCGGCCAGTCTGATTGTCGAACTACTCGAGAATGAGATCAAAGCCGTAGGCGGACGGTCATGGGCAATCATCTCCGGCTTTCCGAATGGCACAGAACAGCTAGCAGAATTCCAAAAAAAGGTGTCTATATCCGCAAGGCTTCACAACATAAAGGATGACACTGATCTCATTTGACAGGTTCAAAGTTCTAATTATGCCTTTTACTTGGAATGTCCTCCCCACGCTGATGTTCAAAGGCGAACGGCTTCAGTTTTGGAGGGCGCTGAGCATACGTGGAGGCCCTCAGTTGTTCAATTCAAGGATGCTCTAAAGAGTTCAGCCGCGCATTTTGAAGTGCTTGGTTCTGTCACCGACCAGCCGACGATCTCCGAAACAGAGCTCTGTGGGTTGGCTGTAAATTCGATCAAGGCTTTCATCACAGTTGGAGTGCAAAGGAACATGAAGTCTACGCATTTTAACTAGCCAAAGCCCTATTTACCTACACCGAATAGAGGTCGTTTCAAAATTCACAATTTTCATCGTCAGCTTGGCCGTGCTGTGGTAATTAGAAGAAGTCTCTCACTTCACATCCTTTTTCACCATTTGCAAACATCAGAGAGCTTATTGTAAACTGTACACTCCGTGGTTCTCCATCCTCATATACATGAGAAGCTTTGCGGCCAATAAGCTGATTGTCCCCTGTGCGCTTGTGAGATATTTGGCATCGAGCAAGTTTTGAGAGAACTTACTCAATGCTAATACGTAGGACTGCAGTACTTTCATAGACGTTATAGCTATTTCATCGTTGTTGAGGAGGTCTTTTGACTTTTGACTTTCCCAGTTCATGGTCAATGGAGTTGATCCAATGACAGAATGATAAGAAGCCAACAAGGAATTGCAAGAAGCAACCTGTTCCTCGATTAGGCTACTTGGCTTGGATGGATGGATCCAGAAGCCACCCTAACCTTTGTTAGCGTACAATTGGATCGCAAAGTGAGTATGCAATCATACAGAGTCCTTATAGCGCCCCCAAAATATATTTCTCGCAGCGTCAAGCTCACGCACATGCAGTAATATAAAGAAAGCCAGACTTGTTGAGATCCACGAGGATCGGTTCCTTGTCTGAAGAGCTTCACGAAGTGCCAAGAGGATTTTCTTGTCAAGTTCAATCATTTTCAACTCAAGCAAATGTCCCAGTTGATTTTGTATCATTCGAGGCACCGGTGTGATTCCATTCCATGGCGATTGGCTATCGTGGACAGTGGCCATACCAAGAGTTTCAAACCCATGTATTTGCCAACCTATAAAAAGCAGTCGTAGACAAGTATAGAGTCTAAGGCAATTCCGTATGAGAGGGTTCTAAAGAAATCAGTAAAAGATCAAGCCTGGCAAATGCAATTCTTACATCTGCGTGGACCTGAGCAATGCGAAAAAAATTGACACTGCACTTGTGCTCTCACAAATTTCATTCAATGCATGTGGAATGCATCCATCGATGTATGAGCCAATATCAACTTTGCTGTCTTTCAAGCAATATGCGGTTGTAGCCACCGGATGCCAGCCCGACGAATCCTTTTTCAATGCACGAACCTGATGTTTCCATGTCGGTTTGAATTGAGAGCAGACGACTCGCAGACTTGGTCCTCGGGCGTAGTGTCGAAATTCTGCAGTTGATTGAGAAATTTCCATTCTCTGAACTGCAGTAAAGAGGCGTTCATAGATTTCGTCTTTCCCTAATTTTGAGTGAGCAACCGTAATCAATATTATGTCAAACAGAGCATTCAGTACATTTTTCGAATGGCTGGTATTGTGTTATACTCTGCCGAATGCATAAGGTAATTGGAAGTTTCAGCTGGGAACACCGGAGGCAACGCGGATCATCGGGATTAGCCAAGTCTTCGCACTATATCAAGATCTGAGATTAACACGTGGGCCAAGCAATTCTGAGGTGCTATTAGTTACCTTCTTCCTTCGGATCTGACATTGTGTACATCGGCGGGGCTTTTTGTCATTGCTTGAATTAGTTTGTTCTGAACGACTCGTTTCAGTGGAAATGAGACTCTTCATCTTCATTAGACTGAGGGCATTGACTTGGGGTGCTTTGGGATCCTGGCACTCAATAGGTAGTATTTCGCTGGTTTGACATGACTCGCTGGTTTCCAGATAAGTTAAGTGCCTATTCACATTGTAGTCAAAATCAAGGCAGGGAAACATGTTTCGTGGACAGTCGGGTGGAGTTATTCGACTGGGACCCAGACTCGACGGGTCCAAGGGACTTGAAGTACTTGAAGTCCCATCGGAAACCTGGATAATTGTGAGAACCCTGGGATTCAGATACAAGCCGTAGCTGTTTAGTCCTACCTCGCTGGGATAGCTCGGAGTCTGGCTGTGGGATAAGGAGACATAATGACAAGCACCGCCGACATCGTGATATTCTTGATAATCATGCCGATCTGGGTCATAGCCCAGGGGAAGAGAGGCCGATGTCTGCCACTCCATGGTACAGGAACTTGGTTCCATGAAAAGGGGGAAGCGAACATTTAAAGGTCAGCTAAGGAAAGGCTATTTGCGTACTTTTGGCCTGCCTTTGCGCATATGATCCCAATAATCATCACATATTAGCGCCCGTGCCCAATGATTACACGGCGCGTAATGCGCTGCCTGAAAATGAGGTAGTCAAGAAAGTTTCACTCTAAGGACTCTGCAAAATCCCGCAGATCAAAGCCCACAGTTTCGCCAGATCTGCTCTCATCCGAAGATGTGCTCGGATTCATTTTAGATATCGAAATGGGCAGACCGGGTATGAAAGCGCTTTGGCCTCCTCCAGGGCCACCGCATGGGCACTAAAAGTCGCGATAATTGACGAATCCCTGTAAATTCCGTGCCCTATAATTGGCTCAAACTCTCAAGGATCAACAACTGCGGATATTTGCTGCACGCCTCCCTCAAGTTTTTGGCGGTTGGCGGGCGCGTCACTTACGAGCTGGCTCTGGGCAGTCTCTCACCTGAAGCCGCCATCATGAGGGCATGGTTCACAAATAATGGGATTTAATTGTCGCCTGAACTCAGAAAATGCCATCGCTTCGGCATTTTCTGGGTGCGTGCAGAAATTTGCCTGATCAGAACAACAATCTACGTTCTGCTGAAGAGCTTATGTATCTATCATTTGTCGGAGAATCTTGGTCAGGGCTGCTCTATCGAGAGATAATCAGTCCTATCGTTGAGAGGCAGTGGTCGTCCCATGCATGAATGGCTTCACCAGAAAAAAACTTTTTCTTCGTGAGGTAACCTGTCTCACGACAGTCTAAACCCAGTACGAAATGCTCAATACAGAGTCTATTTCCGTGGTGGCCATGAAATCAATGTGCTAGTGAATAAATGACTATTAAATGCGACAGAGTGCAAGCCAGCATCAACCCATTCGGATATCCGCAAGCAGATCAGGTAGTAGGGCGGGAAACGGATGGCATGGCCCTGGGCTCATTATGAGCTTGCATTGGCCGAGCAACAAGAAGAAATATAATATAAAAATTTAAAAAAAGAAGACAAGGAATAAAAACCAATTGATGCAACATACTAAATAGATGAACAGCCAACAAAAACAAAGATGCCAAACAAATAGCCGCTCCACCACTGTGCATATTTGCTCCGACTGGTAATTATCGAATGGCCACTACATCGAGTTGTATATTTCTTTGAGGTCTGGGCAGAGCGCGCCTGGATGGTCTAGCGAACGGCACTAGTGAATCAGTCGATGGTTAGTCGGGAAAAACTCCAGCCTGCGAGATTTTGGCCCATGATAAAATGGTCAACACCTTGCATGACCACTTCCGATTCGTGTGGAGCTAACGTATCGTTGATTTGTTCATGGTCAATATTTCCCAGAGGCTAGTTCCTGAGGGGTGTTTAAAATAATATCTAATCGGCGGATGACGAGTGGGGATCTCAAGTGGATCGATCCATTCTAGAACTCACCTCCGCGCTATCTTTTACACTGACTGGCTAGGGTAGCAATTGACCGTCAGGTAGGATGAGATCAAGAGAAAAAGCCTCCGGTTAGGCATTGCTGGGTCAGTCAAAATTGTTTTTGTCCGACGACACCAACAGGAACTGAATATCTCTTGTCCTGTGATAGCCCTCGCAATTGCACAGATATCATGGCCATGAAGTCGTTGTTATGATTACAAATTCAGTTTTTCAATTTTACACGTGGGAATGATAGCTGTTCAGGGAATCTTGCTATTCATAAACAGACCATGCGAGTTGTTCAACACCCGTGGTCAAATGTTCAAATTAAGCAATCCAATGACCTAAGTTGTTGGTAGAAAAAGCACGGCCTGTTTGACTGCCTACTGACTGGTTCCTGGGAGGGCATTTGCCCTTCCCATTGGTAGAACATGTTCCCACCCCTCAAGTAGAAATCCAAAGCTCCTGGGAGACTGTCTGTTGCTACAAAAATCTTTGCTACAAAATTCTTGCATAATTCAACAGACCCAATTCTCTAGCACTATTTCTCATCACTTCAGATTAACCATAGTAGGTATTTATATAGGCTAATTCATCAGATTCGGGCTTATTTACGCCCAGTATCTCTCCCACCCAACTGTAGCAGGAATTATTGTGCTGTTTCAAAGGTAAGTATCGGACTAAGTACATGGAGGCTTAACGCGTTCCCAAGAGCAAGAAGAGCCAGCGCTCTTGTTGCCCTCAGGAAGCAAGGCTCAATCTAAGAGAGTTCCATGAGTCGATATTAGCCACCGATATCATGCAAAGGTTTACGACTAGTACAATGTACAATCTTCCTTCCGCCCGAATTCCTCGCAAGTCCCCTGCCGATCCTGGGAGTATCTTATCGGCCTAGCCACTAATTCCACTTTGGGATGTAAGGACTAATTAGATTTGATGTTTGGCTACGCAAAACATTATCAATCCTCAATCGAATTGGGCGTTTGCTACGAGCTTGAATACAGGCTCGCGTTCAGATGTTGATTCCTGGGGCATAGACCGGTCATAGAACTTGGACCTCGTTATGCCACTTGTGACGCAAAAGACTAGGGTGCACAAGCATGCCTCGCGTGGCGGACTTGATTCGCTGCCTAGACGCAGTGAAGCGGTGATGTACCTGCGAACCGTATTACGCAGTTTGTCGGTGCCGGCGTGGTCAGTTGGATGCACTGGTCGAGATATCGAACCCCATACAGCCAGGCTTTCAGCGATTTGATTGCCCTGGCGCGCCATTTTCCTCGCACTGATCTGGAATTCTGGTCACATGCGCTGCAACAAAGTTGACTGGTCTGCCCGTGGGCCACAGAGGCTCTCAGTGGTGAGTTGTCCCGCTCAATTTCCGCGCGTACCTCAACTCTAGTGCAGCCACCATGCGGTGAGAGTAGCTCGTTTTGACCAGGAAACAAATAGATCTACAGTGACTGAGAATCGAGTTCCTACTGATTGGGAAGCTAGTGCCTTCAGTTCACCAAATTTGGCTAGGTCCTCACGGACGAAATCTCAACAGCCCCATTTGCTGTTTCTTACAGTCCGGGATTAAGGACGCTCGTTCCTCTCTTGTGGAACCATAACCGCCCTAAGGTGGATGGTCAGATGCCCAATAAAGGTGCTAATATTATCTTTAACCCGTAATGTGACATATAAGCCCCTAAATGCCTAGCGGTCATCCATAGTGGCGCCCAATGTCCGAGGATCAGAATCTTAGCTGTGCTGTATACCAACTCGAAGGATGCGAACGGATCCACATTGAGCCGGATCTCTCTGTTTGTCCCCAAGCCTTGGATGTGATCCAACCCGCAGTAGCAGTGATAACAACGCCGATAGCTAGAGCTACTAGTCACTAATATGCCGCTGCCTATTCAATCACCAAGCCAAATTAAAGTGAACCGCGCACTCATCACTGCAGTCACGATGTCCGAAGTAAGCAGGAGACTCGAGTCGCTCCGGATAACCTCCGCTGCGCGTAGAAACGAAGCAATCACATTAGTAGTCTGGCAACTGTGGCTTTTGATACAGTGAGATCCAATCAGCTCACCCTTGGCGTGTATACAGGGGGTAGGCGTCATATCAGACGGTGTGCTAGTGTCTATTTCAGACCGTGAGTCATATCATCTGCTTATGTGATTTCTCTGGCCCACACTACGGTGTTCTTGAACCAAAGGCTTAAATTGACAGGAACGTAACACTTCGTGTCAGTTTCATTTCTGGGTCTATTGCACTGATTACTTTGGCATCTGCCATTTTCTCAAGGTTCGATATCTTGTCTTACCATGAGTTTGATCCGCAGGAACTTCTAACTCTTATTATTTAGTGACCCACTTCATTACCATTGTGATCAAGAAAGATGAACAACGGGCTATTTCTCATAAAAACCAAATTCGGCATCTGCCATGTTGCAGAGAGCCTCCGACAATTCAACGTCCCATGGGAAGAATACCTAGAGAAGCGGAAAGAGGAGTGTGACCCCCTGGAAAATATTTGCAAAGTATCTGGAATCAGCGTGAGGGGTTGGCTCTGCAGATGGCAGAGGGGCGAAATACGGGCATCCCTGGGACAGCGTGCTAAGCATGACTCTTCGCCAAATATGTACGAGGCATGGGGGGGGAAAGTTGATCCCGGAGAAAAGATATTAGAAGCTTTGATTCGGGAATTCTTCGAGGAGACCGGCCTGATACTTACTTGCATATATGATCAAGTGGGCATGAACGACGTGTTTGAAACACCAAAAAGCAAGATATGGATTGAACAAATTCATTTCCTGGTTGAGGTCAAGGAGTCTTCTCGCGGTGGATCCTACCCCATCGTCTTGCATCAGGATGAGCATCAAAACTTTATGTGGGCTCGTGGCAGACTTAACGCATTGCGAGATCTTTCAATGACGCAAGCTACCAGAAACCACTTTGAACCAGCATTTGCAAAGTTCAGGGAGAACTTTCCTTGTCCCAAATGGCAGAAACCTTTGGCCTTTTTTAGGGACGCATTTGAATAGCTAGATATTCGAATCCCAAGGAATGGAGTGACCCCGGGCCGTGGATGTGGACTTGATTCTTTGTATCTAGTGAGCCTTAAGGTGCTACAAAGGTTGCTAGCTTTTATTTCTCACCCATCACTACTTTATTCCGTACTTCATTTCTCGGAACGAAAATTTCCGTCCCTAGTGATTTTGAGCATTCATGAAGAGGTTTGCCAGCTCTGGAAAAAGCTTACCTGAGGTACACTGCGAACAAACGCACTCTGGATTCCAGAGGCCGATAACCGAAAAGCACCCCGTTTGCGAATCAGTAGGAGGTCGGTCGTGCAAACCCCCAGCCCCCGAAATTTTGGCCTATAATAATTTGGTCAAAATGTGCCGGCACCATCGCATGCTTTGCCATTTCAAATTTGTGCGAAGCTAACGTATCGTTGATTTGTCCATGATTAGTATTCCCCAAAGGCCAATTCATGAGAGGTGTTTAAAACGATATCTAATCGGAGGATGACAGGGTGGGGAGGGATGTTAAGTGGATCCATTCCTGAACTCAATTCCACGCATCTTTTACACCTAAAGAATCTTACTGTCCATGCTGTAGACCAACCATGCGAGTTTTTTCAATTGCCTTGGCCATGTATCTGAATTGGAATACCAATGACGTAAAGTGTTGACGGAAAAGCGCCGCCCTTTTCTGCACTGCTTACTGACCTCCGAGGACTTTTACCTTCCCATAGTGGGAATCCCTCAAATAAAAATTGAAAGTCCCAGGGGAAGCGACTTTTATACCCAACAACGTGCATAAACCTCAACAGACCCGATCTGTCCAAGTTATTTCTCATCACTTCAGCTAGCCTAGTGGTAACTTAAACAACCGTGATCCCTAACGATACTTACGTAATACTGATTTGAAGAGTTTTATTCTCAAATGCAACTGTAGTGGCTCCTAGGGATTGATGTGTAGGGGCAGTTAAGGAAGCTCCTAGGAGTACTTGTGAAGTTTTACAGTTCCCAGGAGCAAGAAGAACAAACTCGATTGTTCCTAGGATACTCCGATGGGCAGCCGGATAAGTGATATCGACCTCTGAAAAGCCATAGCCCTCAGAAGCAAGGTTTAGTCCAAGACAATTTCATTATTCGGTATTCCTTTACGGAGCACTTAAACGAAATCCCATGATTCATAGGCCAAAGGGACTAAAAGCCGCAATGGTACTATACGATAATAGTATCATACAGGACCATACCTGTTTCATGTAACTCTCAGATTACAGATGTTCCAAGTATTGTGGCTTATCTGTATTATAGTGGTGGCTGTGCAGACTGGACGAAGCCACTGTAATTACCTTACATTTGTAAATAACAAGAAGTTGTATCGAATACGGGCCCGGAACATGACCTACTAACCGAATCGGCCCGGATATTTATCAATCGAGTCTTAAGGCGTAATTGCATTTCCTGCGAATTTTGATTTTCTAAGATTCAATGAGTTTCAGGGACAATCCAAGTATATGCGGCTAGGTTATCGGGCCTTGTCCATATATCCACCGTAAGGGGATACAAGATGAAGTCCAAGTGGTTTTCAATGAGCTCGTTCATTCCTATTGATAGTGCAATTCGATGATGCGGCTTGGTTCATACTCTGCAAGAGCCCCAAATCACGACATTTTAAACTGTCATATGTAATCCAACAGCATCGACCTGGCAAACATAGACAATATAATAAGATAAATAAAAACTGTAATCCAGATCTGCAACATGAAGCTGGAACGCCGAGGGCATAAGGTAGAATACGGCCATTTGGGTGTTAAGTCCGAACAGGTTAAAATTGCCACAGAGTTTCGGTGTCAATTTTGTTGGTCATTATCAGGTGCGCTTCATGGCAGCGAAAGCGGAGACCCAATGGAGCGGATCGTTGTGAAGAGATTGAGGATCACTTTGTACGCATAGGAATTGAGTGTAGAAGCTATTCAGTTGATGTTGGCTTTCCAGGATGCCGCATCTTGGCTCCAATAGATGAGCTCTTCCTGTTCTCTCGGATATCATGCTCGACTGAAAGCTTTCAAGTCCTACTGCCGGAATAAGCAGTCGAACAAGTAAGGTCCAGAGGCAAAAGGATGCCTTAAGTCAGAGTAGAATGCTACAGACTGAAGGCTGGCAAGCGAGGCTGATTATCGTAGCATGGCCAATAGTCAGATTAGACACGTGCTCATTAGTAATGGAAGGGGCGAGGGCTCATTTTCATGCGTATTCGTGGCATCTTCAAACTTTCTCTTTCGCGTGTAATACTCCACCTGGGGCCTTCTGAGTTTCCGAAGTAGTACTATTGTGCCGTATGAATCTCATCTAAACAAGTATCAGTTTAGGCCAATTTAGTGAAAGATTCAGACGTCTCACAGCCATTGGTCTATGTCCTGCCTGGCAATATCGAGAAGAATGGGCATCACGGATCAGGCTTACTTGCTATCGTTGGTCCAGCTCAACCGGGGGAAGCACGCCATACCCGATTTACTATTTGCGTCGGGGTAACTGACAAAATGAGCATGCGCAAATAAAATGGGTTTTAGTACGTGTAGTGAGAGCATGGAATCAAGCCAAGATCTGTTCCCTCTCAGATCTCGGTGGATTCCATGCTCCTAAAATAAGTTAGCCACAGGCGCCCTGCAAATCCACACCCTCCCCCGGGTACAAGAATGAAAGTCACGTACATCTTCCCATTTGGCTATTGACCATATATAACGAACTCGGAGCTCGGGCATATGCAGGAAACGGCATTGCAACTCGCATCGGATGTAAATATTGGATTCGATCAGGTTGTCGGCTTTCTTTGCGGCATCAGACAATCTGCATAATAATTAGACTTTTACTCTGGCTGAGGGGTTGGAAAAGAGACAGACCTGGATTACTGAAGTTGCTAAAGTTATGAACAGATTTCATGACGCCTTGAGGAGGGATCGGTGTTTCTTTATATACTTTGACTCTCAGCGTTAGCGGTACCAGTTCTTGCGAATGGGTACCAGCACTTGAGCTCCTAGGATCTATCCTGTCTCACCAATCACATTGTGGCGGCGCGAAAGGTCTGGAAGCTCCTAGGAATACCTACCAGGCTTCATTTGCTTAGTATGAGGTTTTTTTTTGTTGCTAGTTAGAATATCTCGGGCAAATGAGGGGTCGCGAATGCCATTATGGTAGGCTAGATCATCCAGTAGACATGGCCGATACGTCTGGAATGGTTTTGTAGATGTTCAGGTCGCTAGAGTTGAAGTCGTATTCCTAGGAGCAAGCGGCAAACAGCAACAGTGACAATCCGTCGAAGATCAAGCGGAAAAAAAGAACCAGAATAAATCACCAGATTGGATTACAAACCACCTAATTGGGAGTTTCTGTGATATTCCTAGATTTTGTAAAACCAAAAATTGAGGGTGGGATATTTTACGCAACCAAGGAGAGACGGTATCGGGGATGGGAAACTCGACGAGTTGAATAGTGGCATAGCCGCAAGATAGTAATGCCAATGAATGTGGCCCCACTATGCTGTTGGAGACGAAACGACCAGGATCAACGGCCATGCCATCCTTTCGTTGTGGGGACAACGGTCAAGTGTGTTTTGGTCAAAAACTGCATTGGATGAGGCTAGCGTGGTGCATTTTATTGAGGCGAGCTGCTGACTTAGCTGCTGACTAAGCTCTTCCGCTTCGCTCAGGTCTCGCTCAGTGAGCAAGTCAGAGCGGTCAGGTCACGCTCAGTGAGTGGGATCGGGATGCTCAGTGAGCAAATCAGAGCGCTCAGGTCACGCTCAGTGAGTGGGATCGGATTGCTCAGTGAGGGGTCATCTGGCTTACATAATGGTCAGGTGATGCTCAGTGAGCGAAAACAATGCTTATATAATACTCAGGGGTGTGCTCAGTTTTACTCAGTGAGCAAAAAGCGGCAAGAGGTGAGCACTTAAACGGAAAGGGAAAGCCAAGACTTGTCAGACATTATCCTGTCTATATGCAGATATGCCCAAGATCAACATATCAACATGCATCAATCGCGGGGTTCAGCCAATCCCATAGATCAGACACCCATGGATGATGACTTTCGGTTAGACCTCGGGTAGGCTTACGTCACCATTAGCTATTCCCGCCTGGTCATAGGCCAATCCCTATGTACACGTGACATTCATGTGATCTGGAGCATCTGATTCCCGGATCAATAATCACCCGTCCCCACTTTTACCTCCGCCTTCCAGAGCAAAAAGTGCTGGATCAGACGACACCCTGCCTTTCTTGTTTCCTCATGAACCCATGAATCGAATGCCATCATGAAGTTCTTCGAAAACAGATTCACCTACGACTACTCCTTCCCCGCCGTCTCTCTCGCCTACTTCCTCCGCTACCCTAACCCCTACTCTCGCCATGTCCTCACAACCGATGTCATCGACCGATACGTCGATCCAAACACCCAGCGTCTTCACACTATCCGGATCCACTTGAAGAAATCAAAGATCCCCTCTGGAATCCTCAAGCTACTACCAAAGGGCATGGGAGGCTCCGACAATTCCGGCCAGAGCTACATCCTTGAAAAGACCATCGTAGACCCCAAAGAGGGCTGGATGGAGACTGAGTCGCGCAATATGGAGTGGACTGGTATTCTCAGCGTAGTTGAAAAGCAACACTACCAGCGATTGCCATCTGGGGAGGACCGTCTCGCTCTGGATGGCCTGGCTGTTGACAAGGTCTCTGAGCAGACCACTGTCAAGACTACTGTCACTTTCCGCTCCAGGCTCGGCCAGGGCAAGCTCCTCGGACGCAAGAAGCAAGACACAGCTGGTGACCATGCCGATGCCGAAGAAGAGGCCACTCGCAAGGGATTCTTCTCTTCCCTGTCCACTGCTGGTATCCAGCGTACCATTGAACTCATCGGTGTCAGCCGCACCCGCGAGGCCGTGCTGAAAAGCAAAGAGGGCATGAACATCGTCCTCGAGCGTCTGCGCAGTGGTGGTGTTGTTGGTGTTCTGGAGGGCATGCGCCAGGATCGAGAGGCCGCATTTGGACCCGATGGTCCATGGAAGCGTGTCTGGCTCCAGGGCAACAGCAAGGATCGTTCTATCGAAAATGACGGCAGATAGGTATTGATTTTCCGTCCTGTTCTTTTATCTATGGACTGTTGCAATTGCCCATCTCATTGCATTTTGCTTTCAAGCGTGGAGTTTGGTTTGGCGCTGGGATATTGACACTCTCCCTCCCTCTTTTCTGATTGTTGATATTTAAAGTTAGTGTATATCTTCTATTTTTGCATGGGGCTTTGCCTCTGGGATGTGTGCATGTATGCTTGGGCATATGCGGAGGATGACATTCATTGTACTATATGCATCATTCTTGCTATTTTTTTATCTCTTGTCATGGAGCTCTATCACCTTTGTCCTTCCTCTTTATATCTGATTTTTATTGTTTGATGAATGAGCTTCTAAATTGCCTGTTCATATTGTCACTCTAGGCTACGTGGGTCTTGTATCTTAAATTGGCAGTCAACAATATGCCTCGATATCGACACAGTCAAGCTGCGTCTTTCACTGGAACAGAGACTAGGTGCCGTGATATAGGAATCGGAGAAAAGATGCTACTGGTCATGCTGATCATTCCTAGATGAAGCCTTTCTCGCCTCGAACAATAGGAGCCTGACAATGTGAAATGTTCGAAATGCGATTGACTCCTGACACCTAAGCGGTGCCTTCCATATTAGATACACAGGCCACTGTCGTTTTCCTATTCTTACAAAAAAAGAACCGCCGCCCCTCGCTGTCGAATGCTCGTCGTCGTCTCTCCATCCACTCAACATGAACTACATCACCCCAGCCTTTCATTTCGAAGCCCCGGACTTCACCGTGGCAACCCGCCATGGCCCAGTCATAATAACCGTCCCCGTTCCCGGCGACAGCCTCAAAACAATCGAATCCAAAATGGAACATGTCAGCAACGTCATTCTACGGCACGGCCGTCTCCAGAGCTACCGCAGCCCCTCCACCGAAGCCCTAAACCGCTGCAACAGATCCCAAGACGCCGCAACCACCGCCAGGGTCGAAATGACCGAGCTCGGAAAGATCAGCTTCGACGCCGACTGGCTGAATCCAGCTTCTCCATTCCCACCAAGCCAAATCCAAACCCTCCCAGGCCCTTTCGAGCCTGATACCGCACATTGGTACGGTACACTCCTCCCAACCATCCGTTCTATCTGGGATTCCCCTACGACCACTATCTACAATGCGGCGTGGATCCTTGAGGAGAGCTCGGCACGTTTCTTCGTTACGGCCATGGCGAAGTACTTCGCGGTTCACGGGCCTATGGAGGCTGAGAAATATGGTATGAGGCGAATGAGGCGAGGGGTGATGAGATTTGGCTCTTGATGAATGTTCGGGAGTGTCTGCGCGTTAGTCTGGCACATGAGAGGGCCAGGGCTGCTGAGTTGACTCAGAATATTGAGTTGTTTCGGGATGTGGTTGCTACTCGTGTCGGGACTTTCGAGCCCTAGTGGGGGGTTTACTTGCTTTGTGATACCTGAGAGTGAGAACTTGTTTTGTAGTTAGGGATAGGATGTCGAATATTGAAGTTGAGCATAATGGCTCGATTTCGCTCTATAACCACGTACTAGGCTTATATTGCTTTTAGTTCTCTTTTAGAAGCTGAACTTCTACATATATGTAGGGACAAGTTGACGATGATGGAAATTATGGCTTCACGAATGTAAATGATAGAATTCTCATGCGATATTTACTATTAGATATAGCTGTGTGTAGAAGGCTAGAGTGAAATTAGAGCGAGACGGAAGTAAGGCTTAGACCTAAGCGTACTTAAGAATGAACTCCTTTACCTAGCACGTCACTTCGGCCTACACCTAAAAGAGGAATTAAGGGCTAGATGCTATCAAAGATTTAAGCCCTCTTGCTCCAATATCCATCCCCTTTGGTATAAATACCCCTAGTGATCATCCTGATAGTCTTCCTACCCTTTCTTCACCATGTCGTACCCTTCATGTCCAACTTCATCGCCTCAACAACCTGGATCCCCATGTCCCATCTCACTGAAGCTGACCACCCAGGAGTCTAGTCCTTCAGTGCCAAAGAAGGGTTCGGCTGGCTTTGGCCGGGACGGTGCTACATAAGAACAATCCTTACTTTCGAGATTCGAAAGCGTTCTTAATCTGACGACCTGGGACTCTGTCTCTGGGAATTCTCGACCCAGATATTCTCCACACCCATATCCTCCACGCACCCCCACCTCCTCTTCGCCAACACCCCAATCCAAAAGAAGCAGTCACGTCAAATCTGTGGCTGCTCCATCCTCAACAATATATCAGCGAGATTAAGTCGCAAATCCTGCTCGTCACTTGGGAAGGACAACAAATACCATCGATGTCCTCTCGACTTCGACTGGAATACGACGTCGATCCGGCTGACCTCTTGAATTCAACGCTGCAGAGCTTGAATGATTAGTGGCCCCTTTTCAAAGCCCAAGTCGTTCGCCGTGAGCCAGAGATCCCGACCATCCATACAGTGGTCTTCACGCCTCGCACATTTTCCTTACAAGTCAGATTTCACAATGGTAACGCGAAAGCTACCGACGGTATATCACCGACCCCAGTCCTGCTTCCAAGATTGGAAGCAGCAAGCTCTACTCTCCCCAAAACGGCCTACTTCTTCTATCCCACATCCATGAAGCGTTTGATAGGTCTAGAATTGGTGTCGATCCAGATGTAAGACTTCTTATATTTCTATCTATGACAGAGACTAATAACACAAAATCTAGGCCGGCTACAGATCATCGTTTTCGCGGAAGACGCGAACAGCCTAGGAGGCACACGTCTCAGAGGCTCTGCTAGAGATGGCACACACCAAAACAACCGCGTCAGTGCGAATCTACTACGCTGGCATCTAAGGATATGCATCTACCACAACATCAAAGCGAATGCTGAGCCTGAGCCCCGTTGGAAGAAGATTTAGGCGAGGATAATGAATTCGCTCTTCCACTAGACGACCCGATCGCAAAAACCGCTAGGATGGAATATCTCTACGAAGCCACAAAGCAAGGGCGAGAAGAGAACTTCACGAGCTACCTAGCGCGAGCTGACGATTTCCACGCACAATACGGACTCGAGAAGCCATACTTCGGGTGGAAAGTGGTCTCAGGTCTGAAAGATCAGCACAAAAGCCAGATCATTTCCTTCCATATGCGACAGGGCATGAAGGCCGACTATCTAACAGCACGGAAAATTAAGCCGTATCTACGCTAGCTACGGAGTATCAGATCGAAGTATGTGGTACATTTGGGTCCTCACGCTCATCATCAAACGACTTCAGGCGGCCTTTCTTCGCAGATCTCCAGAGATACGACTGGTTGACAAATATCTACAATGGAAATTAAACAAATGTTTGTTCATTGAATGCAAGCGCCCTGGCACCTGGAACCAGTCAGAAGATGCTAACAGGTGGAATTGCCTCTGTCGTGAAGGAGGGAAAATGTGTTATCACCCAGGTCTACGTAGGTACGATAGACTGTGGGACCATTTTTTCGAAGAGAGCCAGGTCGATACGAATGAGAGCTTTATCTTACCGTTCGCTCTTTGATGTTTTCAGAGCGAAGAGCAGCTATAAATAAGGCCTTGTGTATAGGTTAATATCTTTCGCTATCTCCGGGTAGATTAGAATGAAGATAATCTCATTATCTGTCCTGGTCGTGGGCCTAGTTCATATCGGTTATATACGTCTAGTGGTTCATCTCTAGAATCGTCCTACAAGGGAAAGAATCGAACCGAGCAAATAAAGCTAAATGTAGAAGACAAAAGTTCCAGGAATGTAGGTCACGAAAATCAATTTACAGCTGTGAGGTCGGGAACTCTGCCCCGGTAATCTAGCATAACACAGCTTTCAGCACCTATGAAAAAGGAGTGGAGGTCCGGAAGATGGTTGTACAGACAATTCGGCCATACATACCTCTGCCTCTGCAAAACAGTCAAGATGTAGGCAAGCTGTGTCACAACACAGAATAGGATAGGTCCAACAAGCATTGTATAGCGGTGACAACGTTAACATGTTAACTTGCTACTATCGTTTTCTTTGTCTCCTAGAGGGCTTACAAGGGAGGGGCGCTTAACCAACGGTTCAATGGCGCATTAAGTCCAGCGCCTCAAATATGCAAGTATACGGCGGCAAGACAAATGATTGGATATTATTTGACGACTACCTACTCTTCATTTAAGGCTTTGTTAGAACTGCGAGCGAGGTTAATAAATGATATATTTGCTTTGGAATCTGTATAGTCGTTATCATCGTTCTGCTGCTATCAAGACCTACCTGCCAACCTGCTCAATTCGAACAAAATGGCCCCCGCACCCCCTCACTCCACGATATCCTAGGCTTTCTTTCCTCGCTACGGGAAGCAAGACAATCAACGACCTACCAGGCACAGTCCACTGCATGTACACAATAGTGCAGCATATTTCCACAGCCAGGGGGCTATATATTGCAAGTCACCGGCAATACACCAGATACCATTTACATCGAACTGAAGCAGATAATCCCAGGCCACAACTTCCCACCAGAGTGGACCAAGCGTCAAATCTTTTTAGTCGAATGCAAGCCTCCAACCAGCGATTTTCCCAGTGGAATTAGACGATAACACTTTTTCACACCAGTTTTGGAATTGCCCTTTTACAAGGATGTACGGCGCTATTGCTATCGGCAGGAAAGTGAAATTCTACACATTCAATGGAAGAGCAGTACCGGGCCAGAGAGTGTCGTGGTACTGGTGTCTTCGACGTGGAGACTGAGCATAGTCTCTTCTAGGTTGAGGGTTTGATGGAGGGTATCAGAGCACATGGGTGGGGGTGAGCTAGTCCTGAGAGGATGCATCCATGATACATCTACGCCATTGTTTGGGAGATTGCGTTTGGCTAGTGGCTGGGTTTGGGTGGGCGACGAGCATGGGTAATGACAATTTGCTGATAGGGCGATTTTAGCGTCTTCATATAACTCTATAGTGTGCGGAGTACACACCGAAATACGGAGAACATGTAGTGTTACAGTTCTCATTATTGTGAAGTTCTAGTGCACGTCCCAGCTAAACTCAGCTTGTCTCTTATCATCGGCTACCGTTAGAGAGAACACGACATTATCTCCAGCATTCCGGTTAAACGGAATCAGGAAATAACGGTTCGAGCACAGACAACCCGTGCAACCAGTTCCATGTAACCCTCTGCTCATAAAGGATTAGTGTACGGTAACAGGAAGGTGTATAATATATGGACAACGCTAGTCAGGCTAGCGACCGACTAGCGGGTAACCGGCTAGTCGAAGAGAGTACTCCGTAGATGGATACAGTACACCGAGCACTAGTCTCAGAGAACAAGGAAAGTAGCATGCCCCATTTTCGTGTCTCGGGGTCGCATTCCACAGAAGTTGGGTCGGTCCTGTCAAAAGCCCGAGAGGCATGTCCCAAATTATCAAATTGCCAACTTGCCAAGACTGGTAGGGTCATGGTTCAGGGTTGAGTGGATTGATGAGGCGCCGCGATACACATATTGGCACGCTAGAGACATAGCCGAATCAGCCAAGGACCCTTGGCCCACTGTTGAAACAGGCCAATTGGGGGTGTCTTAGACCCTGTGACGCAGCGAAGAGTCTGCGAAAAATGTCGACTTACGTCAGTTGGGAGAGGGACTCCATTTGTTAACTTAGTGTACTGATGTAGTGTGTCTAGGTAAAGTTAGTGTACTTAGCACCTTGGTAAGGTATTTTGGTGGAAGTGCAAATATTGATGTGTGACTGTATTGGTACTGTATGGGGTACCCTGAAAATTAGTCTGTAATTTATTATTCTATTTACATGTTAGCATACCACAAAGATGTTCTAACATTACTCCGTATACGTTAGATGTTTATGAAGAATGATCATGAGGTCATGCAAATTATGGATTCATGGGAGATCAACCTGTCCTTAACAAAAAGAGCAAAGATCTGAACACTTTATACACAGGGGAAGAGTGCTGGACCCTGTTTGGCGCAAACCTGCGATCTCCGTCAATTCTTTCCCCTTTGGGTGCTATGCGGGGGCCTCTAGGGGGAATTCCCAGGTACTTCCGGGAAACATGTCCCCTGCTGGGCCCCATTACCCTGCATCAGGTACCCAGCAGGTACCAGCCAGGTTTCAAAAGGAATGCTCGGAGAAACAACTTCGGAAGTGTCTTCCCTTTTCTCTCTGGCTGAACACTGTACTTCTCTTTCTTTACTCTTTTCCATTGGTGCTGGCAACCAAATTACGGAGCCTTGTCATTTCACTCCTCTTATTTTCAGATGATGAGCTTGCAACCAACTGGTTCTCGTTCATCCCTACCTTGAGGGCCTCCCACGGTCGCTCTCTTTGGAGTTCACTTATCTCGGGAATCTCCGATCGTCATATAACATGTCTTCACACAGACTCAGGGCAATATCGCCCCTCCTGGTGATCATAGTGCTACTCCAAACCGTTTCGGCTCAGTTCTGCTCATTCTGGAATAATGGCTGCATCGACTCTCTCGCTCAGACGGCTATCCGCTTCGATCTCCAACCACTCTTCCCGGATCCCGTCACGCTGTATTATGGTTTCGACGCGAGTGCATCAGGCAAGGGCGAAGGCCCAATGACCAAGACGGCGTTTTGGCTGGGGTATCAGAACAACGTCAACAGGGACGCTGTTGATTCGAATCGGACGTCCGAGATTGGGATGCGCGTGGGGAATCTGACCGGCACACCGTCCGGGACGAATAATGGCTGTGATGGGATCTGGGGGCCTGATTGCTCCTCTGAGTTGAAGGGTGTTTTGCAGCGGAGTATGTATCACCTCGCTGTGTCGGGTGATTACTATTCGAAGCCGCTGGAGGTTGCTCTCAATCAGATGTTGATGAGGCCACCGCCGCTTCCTTCTTGTCCCCCGCCTGTTCTTGATGTCGCGTCTATTCCCGTGCAGGGTATGTCCGATCCTTGACTCTCCCGCCTGTATGTGTTACTGACCCCCACGCTAGATTTCGCGAAAGAGCGCGTCCCCGATCAGAATGTTACCTTGATGCCACCTGGCTCTGGTGCCTTTCCGTGGCAGGTGTGGTATATCGATGGTATGAACGCCCGCCAGCAGGCCAATCAGGTCGCTGTTGGAATCATTAGTCGGGGTCCTTCGTATAACAGTGCACCGCCCGATAGCCCAGACGATATTATGGTCGAGCTTGTTTGTCTTCAGGCTCCTTCGAGTGGATCATCCAAGAGCGGCCATGATTAATTGGCCCCGGGAGGGATGGTCTTTGATCATCCTCGGTATTTTTTCCTTTATCCTCTCCAGTGCTCGTTCGGCATAGGCCGGCGCGCACCGCCGGCGCCAGGTACTCCAGGCACTCATTCGGTTTCTTCCATTGGCCTTCGGCTCCGCTTACCTCATGCTATACGCGTGATGAGGGCTTCGCCATTTCTCCCCAATGCTGTCTACGTCTCGATCTCAGTTCCTACGGGACAGGTATGCGACCGGCAATCACTACTTGATTGAGATGGATCATCTGGCCAGATTGCCTATTTGATTCAATGCATGGGGAAACTAAGGGACGTGATGTTCTGTATACTCTTCAGTACGAAAACGTATCCATGGCATTCCCTCCTTGAGAAGGCCTCTGAACTATCGTCGCCAAGAAGCCCACGATAGTCCAACCTGCGCCCACCTTAAAATGTCAGCAAAGCCATATCAACAGGCTTCAAATCCCCAGGCCCCCGAAAGTCCTCAAGGATATCCGCCTGCTCATTCAAAAGATGCCGCTCCGTCTGAATCCCCAACCTCGTCAGGTCGAATGCATTGGTACTCGGCTGTTTGGAAGTTTATTCGTCCGGCCATTGGCCCGCCGTAAATTGCATAGTTGATCCTCTCGGCGTTCTCGAACCACATCTCGTACCGCCATTTCTCTGGATTGCCATCCTTGTCTGCTGCGGCGTACTCGTAGATCAAACGGCGATCGCGCATGTCGGCGTTGAAGGTTGAGCCTTCGAGGGATGGGTGGACGGGCATGTTGATGCGTGGTTGTTGCAGTTGGAATGAAACCCAGATATTTTCTGGAATTCCGACGAGAAGCGTCTTGTCTTGTCTTGTGTTGTTTTATTCATATATTCAAATGCTATATAGCGCTCCATCGACCTCTTATATCTACATCCAATCCAAATCCTCACCGTTAATCGTCATAAAACCTGCTCTAACACCCTTCATACAAACTTGGCAGAGGGGTGGATTACCCCCCCCAACTCAGTATTCCTAATTCGTCCAAGTTAAACACAAAGTAAACATCTTGTGTAACCTTCCCCTTATAGAGCTCCAACCCGGAGATTTATATGCCAATCACTTATCAATGTTACTATAACATACCTATTCACCCCTTACTCCGACACTAAACGCATCAAAAACCTGTCTTGGAGTGTTGATCGCTTAAATAGAATTATAGATTCGATCATACTACGTCGATGTATTCTGTCTTCTTCCTGCTACAGAAATGACATTATGACCCATGCTCCGGGTTTGATCTGCAGTATTTGCATGGAGATATTAGCCGAGTTCAGGAGGCGGGGTTTGGTGGGTTTAATTTGGGTTTTACGGGGATTTTATTTGACTTTGTGTTGTTGATACCGCTTTAAAGGTTATTTCTATGTGTTTTACGGAATGTCGTTGGATGTACATGTATAGATCTATATCTGTTTCCCGGCGCTTGCAAATATTCTCGGGTACCAAGTCCGGGTTGTTATTAGGGATAGGACCTTCATGATTATTATAAATCTTAAATCTGTGGTTGATAAACTTATCATGCACGTATCCGGATTGTGAATGAGGGTTGACTGATCTCAAGACCATATCATTGATGAAATCCTCCTTGGTCAGGTCTGAGTCGGATTTTGCTGCAGGTTCCATGATGAGTCAAGACGAAGTATCTGTCAAAGGATCAAGAATGGCACTTATCGAAGGGAAAGAGAGGTGAGTAGTTGGTGTAAGATTTTTTTTGAAGGTTGATGGAACGGGTTCCTTGTGATTGTTGGCCTATTTATGTGGCGACGAGAGGTTACCGGAAGTACTTATTGGCCAAAGAGATATTCATAGAGCAAGCTTGTAGAGCTTGATTTAGCTGAGCGGCAAGAGATGCCTAGAAGCCTGAAGGATCTAGGTTTATATCCCTCTAGCGTCTGTAATGAACGGGTTGAAATATAGATGGCAGAGTGCATCCTTTTTAAACAGAGGTAATACAATATGTCACTATTATTACTAGCCTATCCGCTTACTAGGTTAAGAATGACATGTAGTTTGAAAACCAGAACTATTTCTCATGAGTCATGTACATGAATATACATACCCCCTGGAGGTAGCTACCAATCTATAAGCCTTTTGTAAAGTGAGAATGGTTTCGACTCATATGACTCATATAACGTAAGCTTGGTGGGCTATTCATCAAACGGGTTCCATAACTCAGTTGGTTAGAGTGTGGTGCTAATAACGCCAAAGTCGAGGGTTCGACCCCCTCTGGAACCACGATTTCTTTTTTGTTCCGGATGCCTGTTCAATCAACATCACTATATTTCCTTGCATCTACTCAAATTTTTTTATTCTTTCGTTTATTACATCCATCAAGTCCGTGCTACAGTAGTTGTACTACATTTTTGGGAGCTCATTGTGCCACAAACCTACACTGTTCCTGATTCCTCTATAGAAATGTGAGTGGAACTGTCGATCAACCGTAATGGGGGTACGCACTATGGGGTACCGCACTATAGACACTGCCCTATGGCCCCCCTATTGGTACTACGTTAAGATCCGTCCAAAGCCTACTTTGAAAGTCCTTAGAGAGTCCTTGGCATGTAGGCGAAGGTCAAGGCACATTCCAGCAAATACCAACGCAGAGTCTTCAAATCATTTTGTCATTGACTAGACTGCAACCTTCCTCCCAAGTTTCCAATAAGCAGCCGCTTCAACCCGAGTGCATGACGTAGCCGAGTTTAGCTTTTAGCTTTTGCTTTTTGCATATCGTCACCGTTTTCCGGAGCTTCCGACTTATAACTTGCTATCCCTGGCATTCTTGCATTTGCTTCACTTACCTCGCATCTCCGTATCTTATCATCGATATCTACACCATCTTGACATCTCACTATGGCGCTGAAGGGTGTGCAGTTGGGCCTACGAGCCTGGGAGGTAAGCTTCACAGCTCGAAAGTCGCGTTTTGGAGTTGCCCTTTAACAATATTCCCCCACAGTTCCTATGGTCTCTCCTCATCATGGCCCTGATCGGCAACATGATCGCCGAGGCGTTCGCAGGCAACCCCGCGACGGTGAACTACTCGATCTTCGTATCGGTGTTCTCAATGGTCTCACTGTTCTATCTGGTCCCGGCCTCGTTCAACATCGACTGGGCCGGTCACCCGATCATCATGATCGTCCTTGACGCACTGAACTGCGTCTTCTTCTTCTGTGCGGCTATTGCTTTGGCTGCCAAGCTTGAGTGCCACTCTTGCAATAACACCGTAAGTAGATGAATCGGAAGAAGGAAGATTTATTTGCTAACCCCGTTCCCAGAACTACCTCATAAACAACGAGATCACCAACGGCGCTAGCAATATGACCAAGCGCTGCCGTGAGGCCCAGGCCTCAGTTGCCTTCCTCTGGTTCGGCTGGGCTGGGTACATGGCCTCTGTTATTGTCTCGATCTTCATGTCCCGTGCTTCCACTGTCAACCTGCGCGGCCGTACTGGTAGCCGTCGCGGTGGACCTAGCATGGCTCAGGTTTAAGTTGGTTGCCATCGCAAGGTAGGAGGCATATGTTGGGCTATGAGCAGTTTGCGCTCTGTCTTGACTGTTATGTACTACCTAGTAATATGGGACATTTGGGTCACGGTCACGGTCACGGTTATGGATATGGATATGGTAAATGGCGTTGAGAAGGTGGTGTCGGATTTCTGGTGAAGGGTTGGTTGTACGATCTGCGAGTTCGAGCATCGGTCCTTTGCGTTACATGTCTGGGATGATTCGAAACATGGAATGTGCCTTCATTTGTTCTCCTTCTTGGAGAATCTGATAATTAATATGCTATTACTTATTTCATTAATAATATTTGTGGTTAGTTAGTCGCCTTGGGCGTTCGCGCTGGCGTTGACTGAAAATTTGATCTTTTGAGATATTCCGAAATGTTGTACTGATCTATTTACCTTACGATTTCGTCCTGTTACATATTTAGTTGAAGTTTTGGTCTAATGCGATGCTCTGATGAATCCTATCACGTTGGGTGCTACTTTGCGCGATAAATATGTTTCTACACTCCTAGATCGGGTATAAATTCACTATCTGTGGAATAAATAGTCCCTAAAAATACCTAAAATCTCGAAAGATCATATCACACCGGACAGGGTAGCTTGTGATCTAGCAGAGCTCTACGCAGTACTTAGCCTTCATTATAGAGCCTGGCGTATCAACACTGGAATAGTAATGAGTATGATATAAAGTTACTAAATCGATGTGATTGCTATATTCATTCTATGCTATATTCATTCTATTGAGTACATAAACCCCGTTCTATAGCCATGGATAAAGCTTACCCCATTGGGTAGTGTAAGTGCCGTCATGGAGGCGAGGGGTTGAGTCATTGGAGCCCCGTGCGCAAAGAACACAGAATCAGAAACCACAATAGATACCTACTCTCATTCATCTTCTATTGAACTTATTGAATCTACTGTATTGTCTCGAGCTAGGGCTCAGCGGGGCAAATCTCCCCTCCGCTCCACCCAAAGAATTTCTAGCCGCCTTGACACCTTTCCCCATCCCTTCTTTTCACATCACCATCAACATGCCTGTCCAGTGAGGTCCCTCCAGCGCTGCAATTGCCACCAGAGACTAACCCTGCCAGCTACCTAATTCTGCTCTCCCGACAGGGCAAAGTGGTGCGTTCTCGTCGCCCACCCAACTAACACCTGGCCCCAAACTGACGCAACCTCCTAGCGCCTCGCAAAGTGGTTCACCACTCTCTCCCCCAAGGAGAAGGCCAAGATCATCAAAGATGTGACTCAACTCGTGCTATCCCGCCGGACGCGGATGTGCAATTTCCTGGAATACAAAGGTGGCTTTCTCCGCACGCGCAACCCCTTTCCTTATCCCGCTGACCAGGACTCCTTTGCTAGACTCGAAAGTCGTCTACCGCCGTTATGCCTCTCTATTCTTCATCGCGGGCTGTGCCTCGACCGATAACGAACTGATCACCCTCGAGGTGGTGCACCGATACGTGGAGCAGATGGACAAATACTACGGCAATGTCTGCGAGCTGGACATTATCTTCAACTTCCAAAAGGCATACTTCATCCTGGATGAGTTATTGATAGCGGGGGAAATGCAGGAGACCAGCAAGAAGAATGTTCTTCGCTGTATCAGCCAGCAAGACAGTCTGGAAGATATGGAGGTGAGTTTGCCAGTCCCTATTCTCTATCACACCCGAGGTCATTCTGTTACCACATTGTCTTTAAGTCTTCGAAGGAGACTTAAAAAGACAATGTGCTACGGTATTCCCCCAGCCATGGCCGTGTTTCAGCCGGGCTAACTTCCCCAGGTTGAGGAAGACGTGGTTACCAAGATCATGTAGAGCCAAGCAGGTTCTTGCTCAGTACATAGCCGTTTTATACTAATCAATACAACTTGTTCAGGATTCAGAAGAAATCTCTCTCAACTTACAACGAGTTGGCCTGTGAAGCCTGTGAAGCCTGGTTTCCATGGTTGACTTGCCCGTGAGGTCAGTGCGGACTCTCACTGGCCAGGCTACACGTGACTCTCGGAATCCCCCTCCCAGTCTTCCCAGTTGCTATCCCCCTCTTGATTGATACTCATTCCTTTCATTCCTCTTCCTTTCGATTCAGTTGAATTTGCTCTTAAAGAGGGTGGCCTACTTAGTGTAGTTCAGATCCCCCCTTACCCCAGTCCTGTTTGCGGTTATCTCCGACCTCACATCATCTCCACCCGCCCTGCGCCCACCGCCATCGTGTTATCACCTCACTTCGT